GTGGGGCCATGCCTGGAAGTTTGGGGAAGCATTGCCTTGCCTTGCCTCTTATACCCTCTTCTAGGTCAGTCCTAGGCAGCCCCTTATAAACACCGAATCAAAGCATGACCATTCAGAACAGTCCCCAGAAACAGCATGCACTTCCTAAGAAGGGATGGGGATTTTTGAAGCAAAAGAGAAGAAGTCCCGAGCCTTGATAGTCTGTCCGCACTGGCACAGAACTGCAACTTATAAAAAACCTTCAGGGGGTATCAATTCCCCTGTGGGGAACATGCCCTCTGAATGATCCATGCTAAAAGGGTCCTTCTGATGCAACGTTCAAAAGGAAATTAAGTTCAACTGCTGAGTTACTAAGGCTTTAACGCTAGGTGGCATCAGATAACTTCAGGCTCACAGCAAACTGGCTCATATCTCTCTTTCTTTTTCATGCCCCTGAATTTAATTGAACTAAGCCTGTAATTTCAGAAAGTCCTTGTTGGACTCCTGAATGAGTTGTCAATTTGCCATGCCGTTTACAGATCTCTCCTTAAGCGCATGCAGTATTTCACAGTAACTATGTAAATACTTCATTTCCCCACCATCTCACATTACTCTTTAGTTCATAGATGTCCTTTCTATTTACGCCTTAAAGTGCAACTCCTCTGAACTTGGGACCTCCAATTTCTTTCCCCAGAGAGTCTTGGGTCTCAATCTTTAAGCCTGAAATGGGGTTTAAGCTATAACAATGATTTGAATTTCGCTCAATACTAACCACTAACAGTGAGGCCTAGTCTACACTACCAAGCTAGGTACTCATAAGCCACCTAGTTGTGCATGAGTCTACACTTGAATGTGTCTCCCACCAATGTGAGTGCCCCGTTAGAGCAACAGACTAACACCAACTCCAGGAACAGTGTGGAGCCTGGGTTAATGTACTGAGATAAACACAGTATAGATACTGCACCACTTATGTTGACCCTAAGGCTATGTCTACATAGCAATGTTATTTTGGAATAACTAACGTTATTCTGAAATAATAATAGTCCATATCTACACTACAAGCACTTTCTTCGACATAATGTCGAGTGGGAGGACTTTTTACTTCCTGTAACCCTCATATTTACAAGGAGTAAGGGATGTGAGAGGAACAATGCTCTACCTCAGACTTCCTGCTGTGTAGACAGCACCAAAACCAGCTATTTTGAATTAAGCTGCGCAACTGACGTAGCTCAAGTGGTGTAGCTTATTTCGGCTTTAGCTGTGCTGTGTAGATGTGCACTAACAGTCCTCCAGCAGCTGTCCCATAAGGACTGACACTCTCTGGTCAAAATAGTGAATTCCACTGTCCAGGGTCTAACGTCATTGGAAGCCCATTCCCCCTTCCTCTTTCCTGATTGTCCAGGTTGGCAAGCACACCTAGCAGCTCTCCATTGTGAGAGCTGACTATATTGGTTATCAGGGGTGCCATTTCAGATTTGGGGGCGGGGGTGACCTGTGTATGCTGTGATGGGGCAGAGGGAGAGAGACAGTAAAAGCATGGTGGGCGCACTGAGGATAGAAGCTTCAGCAGTGTTACTGAGCACGCTCAGTACAAGCCAAGCACCAAATGGGGAAGGGGTGAAGTTACCCCATCCGCCCTCCCCTTCAATGCATCATCTCTATCCTGTATATCTGGGCACATCTGCTCATCAGATATACAGGGAAATACTCTTTCCGGTGTTGTGACTGGATGCTTAATACAACCTCACTCCTGTTCCTCTTGAAATCAACATGAGTTTTTCTATCCATCTAAGTGAGAGGGGCTTTGTGCCCTTAAATCAATGTGTTATTTAATCAACTTGTACTTAAAACAGAATTTTATAACAGTTCCAATGCTCACCTGCGTAGAGTAAAGCTGATGCATTTTGCGTGTCTGTTTGCTGCACCTCAGTGCCAAGTAAAAGCTCATTAATGCAGCATGCACTGCTCCCCCTTCCCCCGCATATGCCAACCCGATTGATCAACCCTGTGAGAGTTGTGAGTTTTCAGCACCAACTTTTGTGCCATCCAATCTTTATTATGAGTTAAACTAAAAAGAATCCAAATGTACCATGGATGACTATTTTGCCCAACTGCAATGAAGGAAATTTTCACTTTGAACAACTCCTGACCGCAGTTTTGAACTTACTAGGAAGTTTGAGACAGAAAAATAACAGGTGATGTTTATCACTGCAGAAAACAAAACATGTTAGTTAATATTATAAGCACTGCAATTTTACATGTTTATTTACACTGTAAGCAGGAGATGTAAATCAGCATGTCAAAGAGATTTGTACACTACATGCCATTTCACAAGGCAATTACCTGCTGCATCTGTCCAGTTTTACTTCCAGCTGCAGAAGAAATAGCATTTTGCTTTTTTCTTTCACCACATATTGCAATCAGAAAACATTTCAAGAAATTTCATGAGCCAGACAGAAACCAGCACAACTGAGTTTTATCAGTGGGAAAGGACTATCCAGCCTACGGGATGTATAAATGGTGCAGGAAACAGAACAAAGCATTCACTTTTCAATATATACTAATGAAGATACTATGTTTTCCCAGTAGTACAAAACTGAGGGTAGCTCTACACTAGAAGCACTAACATAGCACCAGTGTGGACAATGCTTTGGTTGCTGTAACTTGTGTTGCTTTGGAGGATCTTTTTCATATTGCCTGTAAACATTAGTGTCTTCATCTTAAGAGCATCTTTGCTCTGGTGGTTGCATATCTGTCTCTGAAAACATGATTCTGATTTCATTTACACTGATTCTGTAGTGCTGTAACTCCATTAACTTCAGTGGAGTTAATTCATTTACACCAGCATGAACAAGCTCAGCTTCCAGCCTGGTGGTTTTTGAAAGGATAACAGATTTTAAATATGGGCCCAAAACCAAATGCTCTTTGAACATAGAAAAACTTTGGCTCAGGATCCCAGCACTGCTGCTTAGACCTGTTGCTACTGTAAACATTAAAAGCAAGTTAATGCTTTGGAAATTACCTCTAACTACCTGGCACAGTGACAGGCTCTCAAAGCTGCTTAGTGTTCACTAATTGTATTCCTAAACAAACATGAAAACAGGTTGTAAACACATTAATTTGGTTAGCAAGTTAAAATATTTTTAATGAAAAAGGTGGCTGATTAATATTTGCCTCCCACCCCCTAACTGAAATAATGGCTAAGGAGGAAGTGATCAGCACCTGGGTTTAATGGGCCTCATTAGAGGATCCCATTGAGTGAGCATGTGACTAAGAGCTCCAAGAGCTTCTGGATTCTAAGGTGGCTAGGATTTCCTATCATGGTATATTGGGGTCCAGCCTTGAAAAGTCCTGACTCCCTTCCTAGCATGAATTTAATTGTTATCCAACTACTAATATCTGCCTTTTATCAGATCTGCTCATGTTGCTTTCTGAGCACATCAGAACATAGCCCTATAAAATAAGCAGACCTTAATGCTAACAATACACTCTTCTAAGGCTTGTAAATAATGGTCATTGTTCCAGTGCTCTTCAATTAATTTTTGGGAGAGTGGAAAAAAATAATGTCAATATAAAAAGGTAGAGATGTTTATATAAAATTTAGCTAGTAGTTTCCTGACCTGATGAGTGCAGGATTGTGTATTGCAATAGGACTGGGAAGTTTGTTACACAGATACAGGGCTTGCTTTACGTCTGTGCCAGAACCCCTGGACTAGGAAAAGGATGTTTCTTCCCCATTTTATGAGGAAGAAAGGCTCTTCCTAAAGAGGTTTTTCTGAAATCTGGCCCACTGTAGACGAGCCAAATTTTGGAAAAGCCTCTTCCGAAAAAACTCTCTTCCAAAAGAGTTTTTTCTGAAATCTGGCCCACTGTAGACGAGCCAAATTTTGGAAAAGCCTCTTCCGAAAAAACAATTGAAAAAAGGTATGCAAATTGTTCATGAGAGTGGTAAGAATGGTGTTGAGCCAATACTTGCACACCTAGGGTACGTCTAAACTACATGCCTCTGTCGGCAGAGGCATGTAGATTTGTTTGTTCAGCAAAGGCAAATGAAGCCGCGATTTAAATGATCGCGGCTTCATTTACATTTACATGGCTGCCGCGCTGAGCCGACAAACAGCTGATCAGCTGTTTGTCGGCTCGCGCGCTAGTCTGGACGGTCCCCCTGTCGACATCAAAGCCCTTTGTCGGCAGCCCCGGTAAACCTCATTCCACAAGGAATAACAGGGCTGCCGACAAAGGGCTTTGATGTCGACAGGGGGAATGTCCAGACTAGCGCGCGAGCCGACAAACAGCTGATCAGCTGTTTGTTGGCTCAGCGCGGCAGCAAGCCGCGATCATTTAAATTGCGGCTTCATTTGCCTTTGCCTATCTGTCTAATCTACATGCCTCTGCCAACAAAGGCATGTAGTCTAGACACAGCCCTAGTGAACAACTGTAGTATAACTAGTGTAGGGAGTCTCGTGCCCAGTGAGTCTCACCAGGGACCTAGACCTTGGAGGGTGCCCTGGATTCCCTCAGTTGGAGCCACATCCATTGCAGCCTGGTGCGAGGTGACAGGAATGGGACTCCCTGCAGACTGAAAGGGGCATAAGCATTTCTAGGTGCATGTTACTTTTTTATGCATTGCTATGCCTGTGCTTATTGATGTGTCACTTTGCAGTAGCTGTGTATCCATTTGGCAGTATTAACTCTGTAATAGTAGTGACGTAGTGAGATTAATAAAAGCAACTGTCCCTAATTGACTCTGTTGTGAAGTGAATCCATAATCCTGTTTGGCCATGGCCCTGTGAGTTGACAACTAGTTGTTTCAGTTGCCCCCCCCCCCTTCCCCAACCATGATACATATGAAAAAAAAATCAAATTTTATTCTGACATTTTGTTTGGTTTGAATTTTACTACGAAGTTATTTTAAAAAGATAAAGCTTGACAATGAAACATTTTGTTCTTAGTTGAACATATACTTTATTCAAATCAAAATAATTTTTCATCAGTTTTCTTAATTTGCTGAAAAATGCAGTTTTTCTAGTCAACCCAAACTGAATTTGCCCATTGCTCCTCAATGCTTTGAGATAGCCTGTGAACCAAGACATCAGCTATTCATATAGCTCTACCTCCTGTGACTCTGGTTCGTGATACATACTTTTGGGGCTACACTGGCATAAGTGGTGGAGTGTGCTGATGCAGCTACTTTGCACTGTCACAACCTTCTTCTGGGTCTTTTGCAAAGCCAGTGTCTTCCAGGGTGACTGAAGCTCATAGCTGTACAAGAGCCAAATATAATAGACCTGAATGAAAGTGCTTGGTCCTGCCATGAAGGCAAGGGTCTGGACTTGACTTGTTGAGGTCCCCTCCAGTTCTAGGATTCTATGATTTTATGAAAGAACAGCCTTGCATCTGGCATGCCAATATAACTCAAGGCTTTATCACAAGGGTGCATTATATGCTGGTCAACTTATCAAACTTTCTCTTCCATACAAGGGATTATCTGGATCCACAAGTGATATGAAGATGTGCAAATCCTGGGTGTTCACTGAAGAGATACTATGGAAAAATGACAAATGGCTTCTGCTGCATATTACAACACCAGTGGCCTGTTGAACACCAAAATGATGGTCACATTTCTGTCAGTTTCACCTAAGATGCTATTAAAGGGAAATAAAATCTCTTGGTTCAGGGCATAAATGAGAGCTGCAGGAACCGGGGAGGTATATCCACACTCTTCTCAGGCAGAGAACCAGATATGATGGGTCAGTTATCTGACCTTTTATAGTAAATCTTATTTTTCTAAGAACTTCTGTTTTGTTGCAGAATATTGAGCTTCTAACTGCCTCGGAAGAAGTGTGGCTTATTTTGCTTCTGTGACTTGCTAATGGTTATTATCCCGGGGTAGAGTTCATACAAAAATATAGAAGGCATAACTTTGAAGTTTTGTGTTTTATTGTCGTTGGCACCAGAAATGTTTTTGATCTATGGTATGTACACATACATCCTCTGTAAACAAGAATGCATCAATATCGGTTTCTTAAGGTTTTGTTTCAATGACTGTATGGTTTTTAAAAAATACATTCACAAACTACCTTATGTTTAAACACAATGATTCCCTTTTATTTTGTAACTGTTCCCCAAAAACCCACAATAAAAAAAATCATTTAAAGCTGTGTATTCTGAACATGTCACTTCAGGGGGAAAAAAAAGTCATCAGTTTGCAACATAAATTAATAAGCTTGTTTAAGGTAGCCACAGGGAACATATAAAGAGCTGGTGACAATCACTGTGAAATGACTTATTCTGATTCCAGGCCTGCCGCTGAGGTGGGAGGGGCCAAGGAAGAAGTTGCCGCAGTGCCTAGTGATTCAAAGGAGTCCAGGGCTCTGGTCACCATAGCAAGGGTGGTGGCTGGGGCCACAGGTCCTTTAAATTGCCACTGAAGTGCTGCACTGCACACTCCAGGTGGCTGAGAGGGTTGGCTGCCCCCTCCCCATCCCTTCCGCCTCAGGCCCTGTCCCTTCCGGGAGCACAGAGCACCCCACACCTTGCCCAAGGGCCTACACAGGCTGTTGGCTCTCCTGTCTGGTTCAGTTTTAATTCCAGGATGCAACAACTACAGCAGTTACCCAATTTAATCAGAAAAGTTATTGCTAAATAAATATTTTGCAATAAAAAGCACGAAGGTACGTATGTGCATGGTGGTGGGAGACGTGGGCTGAAATGGACAGTCCCTTCCTGATCATCACTCCGTGAGGTCTCTAAGGGTATGTCTACACTACATGGCTCCATCGACGGAGCCATGTAGATGAGCTTTGTAGACATAGCAAAATGAAGCGGCGATTTAAATAATCGTCGCTTCATTTATGTCAAAATGGCTGCCGCACTGTACCGATCAGCTGTTTGTCGGCTCAGAGCGGTACTCTGGACGCTTGGCGGTCGACATGAAAAGCCTTTGTCGACCACCCTGTTATGCCTCGTGGGATGAGGTTTACCAGGGTGGTTGACAAAGGCTTTTGGTGTCGACCGCCAAGCGTCCAGATTACTGTGCTGAGCCGACAAACAGCTGATCGGCACAGCGCGGCTGTCATTTTGACATAAATGAAGCGGCGACTATTTAAATTGCCGCTTCATTTTGCTATGTCTACAAAGCTCATCTACATGGCTCCATCGACGGAGCCATGTAGTGCAGACATACCCTTAGTTGAAAATATAGTTAGCCCAAGTTAACATACCTGCTCTTTAAATAAGGACATTTCTCAAAGAACCCACAGTGCTTTGCTGTGGCTGACAGACTCAAGTCTCCCTATGGTTGTTTTGGAGACCCCCTAACAGGACTATGCAAGCCTAGATTTGTTACTTAGAAGTACTCCTGAAAGCACTCAGTGCTCTTTTGTGGTTTCTCGGGTGCTCAGTGAAATGCTGCTGCTGATTTCAAGGCCCCTGCTAGAATGTGCACTACAAGCTTTGCTGCCATTTACCATTTTCAGAATTTCCACCACTTGCAGTGTCAGTGATGGTAATGCTGGCATCATACTCACAGGTTGTGTGGACATGCTTTGACCAGGGTTAGACGACACCACTAGGACTAACATGCCATTGGCTGCCTGGAGACCTATCTGCATTAGGGCTCTCGCCATTCCTGCCATAGGTGGAGCTACAGTGATGCTACCAACAGTGGGAAATTCCAGATCAATAGGCTATCGCATACACAGCCCTACTGCCTGAGCCACTGAAGCAACTGTACAGGTCCTTCATATGGAAGAGAGTGTCCATTAAACCAGCAGCCATGAGTGGTGCTTTGAACTGAGATAATGATCAAGTTACTTTACTAGGATTTTATTTTCTGACTGAGACAGCACTGTGGTTTCTCAATGACAGAAGCTCAGAAATGAAGCTGTCACAGCTACCTGGATTACCTTTCTTAACTGCTTCTAACCTATGTCGTCTCCATGTTAAATCTTTAGCTATCACAGGCCAGAACTAGCACATTTTCACCAAGTTGCTATACCTCGCCCCGATTTCTGATTTTTATTGTGTTCTCACTCATGGTCTGACCAGCCACTAGTTTTAAATGACTAAGAACAAAACTAATGTCTACCAGCACATTAATGGATGGTGCAGTTGAATTACAAGGCCTTGGGAACTGGTACTGTGAGATTCTTTTTTAATCAGTGAAGGATTCAGATTTTGTCAACTACTGCTGATTTGGTTTTTTTTTAAAATAGAATCATTATGATTACATATGCCAGTTGAGCTCTCTATATGTTCCTGAAGGTAACAGTGCTGCAATGAACAGCAAAATGAAAATCAAAACAAAAACAAACAAAACGAGGTAGGTTAAAAACAGCAACACAGATCTCATTATGCAACACCCTAATATCACAGGCAGCCATGCTTGTAGCTATTGAGAAAAAAAATCCCAGATACTCACTTAAAATGTAAATCAATTGAGCAGAGTTTATAAGGACACAATTCAACCTGAACTAAATACATACATATTTCTGCACAGATGTTGTTGTTCACTGCATGTTGGGTAATTCATGGGAGGGGAGGGGTGCAGAAAGTGATTATAGCTTCGGAATCTTCACCAAAGAAACCCTATTTTTAAAAATTCTTTACAGTTCAGCTCTGCAATGCTAATCCCCTCTCTCTCCCCTACGCTGAACAAACACTGGCCTATCAGAACCTTCTAACTTGCTCATCCCAATCTTCGTATCTGGAGAATGGCCTCACAAGACAAAAATCAACATAAGCCACATTATCACTGGGGCCACAATCCTTATTGGGGCTATAGGCACCCTCAGCGATCACAAACTTCAATGGGAGTTCTGAATGCATAGCATCACTATTAAGTGGGGACCAACCATACAGATGAGCATACCTGATCACCTGTCACTATAACTGGACCCCAAATTAAAATCCCTGTCATCCAAGTGGCTCCATGCATCCCTCCACATGTAGATCTGCCACCTGAATGATCTTGTGTTTCTCTCAGCCTATGTTCTATCCATTCTTTTGCCCCGACCTCTTGTATAATGCAGCACGGGGAAAGAAATGCTAATACTCTCCCACTGTTTTCAGAAGTAACAACAAATGGCACTACTTTCCCTATCAACACACACCATTATGTGAAGCTCCATATAGAAATATGGATTGACAGACTGACAAAAATGGTTGTTGATTTTATTAGTCTAAGGCTAGTAGTTTAGCCATTTAAAATCCATTTCCCAAAAGCGGGGAAAAACTATTATTTTTCTCTTCTTTAAAAATCCATTAAGCTGTTGCTGCCAAAAGCAGCATGTAAATGTTGGTGAAGGCAAAAGATTTTCCAAAATTACCCAGCTATATGGTTATGGCCTTCATCACAAGGATAAAAGGTACATTTATTGTGCTGTCTTTCACCAGTTTCATTAGTAACTTTACAGCATACTATATATTTGATGCTAGCAGGCAGACAGAATTAAAAACATACCTTTTTGACACTATTTTCTTCCCCACTCTTGCAAAGTAGGGGACAAAGAAAAAGTAAAATAATAAAAAGTCTTAATCCACTATAACACAGCTTAGTCAGGAGACCACCCAAAGGTTTATTTCCCTACTTTCGAAGTGCATATGTCTATTTCTGCCCCAAACACAGTGTTGCATTCTTAGGGATCTCCAGTGAACCCTCTCGCTCCATTACCAGACTGCAACAATAAAGGGTGTACTGTTTGTGAGTGTGTGTGTAGAGGGGTGGTGTATTCCACAAGGCTTTCCGTATCTGCCTCTAGAGCGTTAGTCCACATGTTTAATGTCCTTTAAATTAGAAATAATGCCATGAAGTTAAGTGTCAAGCATTCTTCTGTTACCAGTTCATCATGGAATTTCTGTTGAGGGTCATGAAAAAAACTTGGCTACTTCCTCCAGATCTCACCGATGCAAAAAATACCTATATGGAGAGAAAAAAGCCACACCCAAGTTTAATTGCATGTTTTTTCAGAGGCTCACTCATTTAACAGCCACCAAATGTCTTTTCATCACTAACGACCCAAGCTAGAGTCAAACAAGCAACCTAGAGCTGGAAGATTATCCCATTACCAATACCTTGAGCCAACCAGTTCCCCTCTTTTTTTTTCCTTTTTTTTTTTTTTTTAATTTTCTCAGGAGAGCTGAATGGAGACAGGGCACCTGGTTTCCAGTGAAGTTCTGCTTTAATCCTGTTAATCAGATAGTGTGATTGCAGTACAAGGAGGGTGTGATGGAGCAGAGAAACCCTACATCAGCAAGAAGGAATTAAAGAGAATCCAGTTAGCCCCACCCTGCAATACCTGCAGCCAATGCCAGGCCTGGAGGGAGAAGAAAAGGAGAGAACGTGGCACATTTCAGGAATGACTGGAGAAGGAACAGGATGCAACCCTGCCTCTCCGCATTAGGGGAGCTTCACTAGAAGCCTGGAAGTCAGGACAGACACTGAGGCAGAAGCAATCTGTTCCTGATCAGGAAGGACTCTCAAGGAGACTGGACTCTCCTGTTTACTTGAAGGAAATTGGGGATGCAGGCCCCTCCAGTCTTCCAATTCCCCACTCAATGGGTGAAAATTACAGAAGTGTCCAGCAAATACAGGGATACAGACTGTCCTCCTCACATCCACAGAGACTGCCACTGTGGGAGGATGCTGGAAAGGTTCACAGGCAGCACTACTCCAGGCAAACCATTACAGAGGGCAAGATTGGATGTATGGATGCCACATAATGATTCCTTAGTACTAAGTTTGAACCTTACACCTTGCTAGTATCTTGAGACCACAGAAGAGTTAATGAATGACAACCTCGCAGAATTTTCTGTGTGTGTGTGTGTGTGTGTGTGTGTGTGTGTCTCAATTCATCATGTAACACAACCTTCTAAGTCAGTTGCTGTAGATGACAACACTGTTCATTCCAGTGTTTTCTTTATGCAAAGGGACACTCTCCCAAGCCTAGTACAAGGAAACTGGAATCTCACACAGGACATCAACTGAGAGAACTGGTGCTACTGTCAAAGGAAAATTCAGCAGGTTGGTTGTCTCTGTACTGGCTCTATTGTGAGAAAATCAAAACCACTGGAGAATGACCCACGCAGCCTGATCTTCATTAAAGTAGGTGTCTGTTGAAATTATCGGGCTTTCCTGACTTGCTATCAGTCCCAGTGAAGAGAGTTATGCTTGGGGTTACACCACAGTGCCATGTTTATTATAGGCAGGGCTTTCTATTTTAAGACTCTGCTTTCAGTTGATTACCACTTTGCCAGTCTGTTTGACCTGACATTTTTCATGCTGTTATATGCCTCAGGTCAATCTTGGAAAAAAAAATCAGCCGAATTTTGAGTTGTTTCTAAGAATGAAAATTATGTTGTTTTGCTATGTTAAAAAAGCTGGTGACCTTTTCTTTTGAACAGCTCTAGCACGCTCATACTTTGTATAACAGGATATGAAATTTGGCAGTGGGGCAGCCTTTATGATAGGGACATGCCATTTGCCATCCTTGTGAAATTCTACCAAATTACAAACCTTTGAAAAATCATAGTTTGCACATGCTCAGCAGAGAGTTTTGATTTTAGCAGCTAAAAATCTCTAAAAATTGTCTCTTCGCTGTGCATGCTCCATCCCCTCACAGCTCCCACCTGTAACCAGACGGTGTATCCACCATCTGCTCACAGCTCCTACGCGTGAGTGGATTGTGTCTGTGTCAACCCCAAGAAGCAAAGCTGAAGGTTCCCTGTAAAGGCTGCTTTAGCTGGAAGTGGGTTCTGGGCTGGAATGGGAGTAAGAACTGGGCCAGAGAACAGGAAGCCTTTTTCTCTCCTGTGTTCTCCTTGACCCCACTTTTCATACCCAGGGAATGTGGAAGAGGAAGCTGGTTGATGTGAATGCATAACAGGACAAAAGCCAGTTCACTGGGGAAGAAAAAGAGTACATAAGAACATAAGAACAGCCACACTGGGTCAGAACAAAGGTCTACCTAGCCCAGTGTCCTGTCTTCTGACAGTGGTCAGTGCCAGGTCCCCCAGAAGGAATGAACAGAACAGGGAATCATCAAATGATCTCTCCCCTGTCACCCATTCCCAGCCTCTGACAAACAGAGGCCAGGGTCACCATCCCTACCCATCCTGGCTAATAAGCATTGATGGACTTAACCTCCATGAATTTATCTAGTTCTTTTTTGAACCCTGTTAAAGTCCTGGCCTTTCCAACAACCTCTGGCAAGGGATAGAATGGGACAAGGAGTCTGGGGAGGTTGGAACAGAAGGGGTCGGGGGAGAGAGAGAATAATTGATTGGCTGGACAAGGAGTGTGGGCTTAGAACAAGTAGCCAGGGATAAACTGAAAGGATTGGGATGTTGGAGAGGATGAGGCAGAAGTGACTAAGTCTGGAGAAAATGTGTAGAAGAGTTGGTGTCCACTAGAGAGCGCTCTCCCCCAAAGCCTGGAATATAACCCATGAATCCTGAGTCTCGCCATTCCTCTACTATTAATACACATCTGTGAAGCCCTCTGGCAAATTGGGCTTCTTATCCCTCCCTTGTGCTGGTCCACACAGAGGATGACATCCTATTACTGCTACCAGTTATTCCATTAGGTCGCGAGGCAGAGATGTATGCAGTGGATCTAAACAGTCCAACTCAGCTGATGAGTGGGTGAGAGTATAATGCCACACGATGAGACTTTATCAATTTACTTTTTGAAAAACCTAGGAATTTACACACACAAAAACGATGTTCAAAGAACATTATTAAGATTGTATCATAATATATATGCAGTGGGGATAAAATTAAGGTTGCATGGGCAACCTACATTCTGACATTTCTTAACTTTTAAAGTACTTGACTTTGCAACATTAATAATATTCTTTTAATGTAATTTGCATGTGTAACTGTAACTGACCTGAAAAAATTCTGAATGGACTTATTACATGGAGCTGATCTGTGGCCATGCAATATTTTAGAGCACAGGCTAATGTTTAGGGAGGCAGCTTGAACTCGAGTATTATTTCAGCAGCATTTTCACTATGCTGTATGGGGGAATGGTTATGCAGAAAATCATTATCACAGATTCTGTAAATGGAAGCACAACTGATCCACTCCTGTTGATCAAAGATAGGCAAACGGTCCCATTAGGTTTTGAGCAGACTCCTCAAGTAGCTTTGTCATCACCACTTAGGAGAAATTCAGGCCGAATCAATACATTGCCTCTTGGTTGTCCCTACTTAAGGGAATTATTTGGAGTGCTTTGCTTGTGTGTTGTGTGCATTATGCAAGCCATTAAATTGATTACTTATTAACCTCAAGACAAACTAGATCTGAAACCTCAAGGTAGCTGGCTGTAGCTTAGAGATGTAAAGCACTGATGCATGTTTTGAGGCAGACTTACCTTATCATTTCTTTCACATAGAAATTTTAACCTTTGAGCTCGCTTGTGCATAAATACTCCATCCAAATGTCCTGTCTCCACTGAACGGATCTCAATAGCTTTTTCTCCCCAGCCCATTATTTGATTGGAATGAATGTAGGCTGTCAAAAGGAATTTCCAAAAGAGCATTAAAAACATTTGGCAGGCTATTAATAATAAAATGGGCAAAGCCACTCTCACCAATCAATTTTCAAAGACTGTCTAGAGGAATCAGGTAGCTTTCCATTTGCCAGAGGGAGCAGAAGCCACATCAAAAGAATGCACTCAAGTAATAAATAACAATAATGGCTTATATAGAGTGCTTTTTCCTCCATAGATCTCAAAGTGCTTTAACAAGGGGACAGTATCCTTTATCCCCATTTTACAGTTGGGAAACAGAGGAACTGAGAGAAGAGAATTGCTCAAGGTCACATAGCAGGCCAAGGGTAGAACCAGGAGTAAAATGCAGGTTCTCCTGACTCCCCATCCAGTGTCCTCTCCACTGAAGCACATTGTCTCCCCAGTCTAGTGACTTTAAATAGGAGTCCTCAAGGTCCAGTCTATGACTAGAGATCAGTGAGGTCGATCAACTGGGAGCGGTTTGCTTTGGCTGGCAAGTGCCCAAATGGTCCCATCTTAGTTTCCTTTATCTCTCATCTTATTTTACATTTGTAAATGATGGAGAAGAGGAAGGGTCAACCTACCCACAGAAGTCGGCATTTCTCCCCACTGCAGCACCACGTCTTTAGTTATCCGTCCATAGGTGTTCACATACACCCCTTCATCCTCATAGCACACCAGCATCTCCATCCCATCCGTTTTGGGCAGGATGACAATGGCGTGAGGAGTGATATTGCCCTGAATCTGTGATTAAAATACAACCCACACCATCAGAATTAAATGAAAGAAGGGGAAAAGTCTAAAAAAAAAAAATCCCACCCTATTAAACTGCTATGCGTCAGCATTTAAAGGATTGCCTTGAAAGACAGTAATTTGTTATGTTTACTCCACCATCAAACTGTCTGAAGTGTCAAAGATAAAAAGCCTCAGCCATTATAAGGAGATTGCAACATTTAAACCCCCAGCAAATGATGTCTGACATTTGACAGTACCCTATATCAACTACATCTTGTGTTCAAATTACAGTGAAACAGAAATTAAGAATACTGGGTACAGAATTGAGGAGGAAATATTCTCCTTTCTTGAATAAACAGTGTTTGGAGAGAGAATAGAAGCAAGGATGCAGCAAATTTGCTAACGTTTCTGATCTTCAATAGCTTGGCATTTCCTCCAGCTTTTGCTCAAGTGTCAGGCACTGGCAACACTGTCAGAGGACGATGGCTACTGTCCTAGGTGGGTCACTAAGATAACCAGATAGAGAATTCCCAAGCTGATTTGAAACAGTTCCAGCTGACACAGCTTCTCCAATGGTTTGCTCAAGCACAGTCGATAAGAACATAAAAATGGCTGTACTAGGTCTGATCAATGGTCTGCCAAGCCCATTATCCTGTCTTCTGACAAGGGGCAGTGCCAGAGGCTTCATGGAGGACTGTCAGTGGGGAAGCCTACCAGTGGCACAAGTAGAGTGGCAAGAGGTTGGGGGTGGCCCCAGCAGGGTAGTGTTTGAGCAGGCTGGGAGTGTGGGGTCTTGGCTGGGGGTTGTGTGCGTATGTGAGTGAGGGGTGGCGTGTGGAGGGGCTGCAGCCAGGAGGGCTGTGGGAGGGAAGCCTGCCAGTAGCACTGGTAGCATGAGGCTCTGTGTGCGTGTGCGTAAGTTCTTGGAGTTGGGGTGTGGTGAGGCAGAATGACATGATGATGTCACTATTTTCCCATGGAAAAATATGTTTATATAGAGAGAGCGATAATAAGGGGCAACCAGTACTGCATGCAATATTTAAAGTGTGGGCATAGACAGAATTTAGCCCAGCTTAAACTAAGTTGAACCTAAACCCCTCGGTTCAGTCCTGCTTTCTTCTTGTTTACAAAATGTGCTTAAACCAGTTTAACTCAAACTTGTCTGATGATTCTAACCACAGTTCAGCAAAATCTGCTTGTAGGACTGCACAGAAAAGGCCACATTCTCCTCATATTATCTTGTTTCATGCAACTGTCCATTTCTGTCTATGAACCATATACACAGTTCTGAACACAGTTTATTCAGGAAAAGTGAGTGGGGGGGGAAGGGCAGGAATTTGAGCTACTCAAAAGGTATCTGAACCATGACCCCAGTTCCATGGGAGTGGCCATTTTGTTTGGTGGGGAAAAACCTGGTTCTCTATTAACCATCCCCTCAGCAAGGAAACAGAAGCTATGGAACATATCCACTAGTGGTCAGTGGTGTATATGGGAGGATTCCTCCTTCCATAGATCTTGCCAGCACTAAGCCTGACCATGTAGGCTTGGTATGGGCAGAATTCCCCACCTCCCATGTAAGTCAAGACAGTAGAATCAGATCCTTCATCTTTATTAGCTAAGTATACAGTTTCCTTCATCTTTTCTCCTCCACTTGTCAGAGAGGCCATTACCAGGGATACAGCTCTTCCTCGTACTCACGTGAGATGGTATATAGATATCGTAAGAGTTCCCCGAATCGACATCAATCACATGGAATCCAGTGTGCGATCCAAAGATAACCTTCAGTCTTTGACCTTCTTCTACCGTGAGGTCCACAAGCAATGGTTTGTGCTGGAGATCTGCAAAAGACTTTTAAAATCCGTTCAGTCAGTTTAAAATCTGTTCAGTCACTTTAAAATCCGTTCAGTCAGTTTTAAAACCCACTACTGGAAGCACATCACAGTCATGAAACCAGTTTGTCTCTTATGAAATGTGTCACTGATATTTCTTGTTTCATCTCAGATGCCCCATTACTTGGTCACTCTGCCGCTCTCCGTAGATTCATTAGTCTTTTTTTATTGCTATATCTTACAAGAGACTTCAAAGCGCTACTCTAAGGTTTTTCTTCCCTGTTATTACAAGCAGGCTGTCTGACATGTTACATACACATTGCATCTTGCCATGCAGGGCTAGCAGTCACTGGAAAATATGGATTCAATAGCTGGAATGAGAGCTTGAAAAGATAATGTGAAAAAATACCGGCACATGCCAGACACCCACAGCAATGGGTGGGGGGGGGCTTGCTAGGGCATCTGTGAAAGGGAGCCAGAAATCCAACGGCAAGGAAGGGAGATATTCACCAAAGGACAATAGGTAGTTCCCTTTGGGAGTCTTTGGCACCCACTGGCCAGCTGGGGGAGAGGGTGTTGACTGGCCAACACTCCCCAGTTCCCAGGTTCTAGCTCTGTGCAGGGACCATGTAGAATTTCTTTCAGCTCCATTCCTGCAGCTCACCTGAACCTACTCACCTGAACTAAGAGACTAGGACTCCAACCTGACACATGCAGAGAATCAAGCTGATCACCTGTTTGGGGGGAAGGCAGGAATGTTTTCTCCCCTGGGCCAATCAGTGAAGTACCAGGGAGTTTTTTGCCTTCCTTGCAGCACCTTCAACGACAGAGGGTTGAGTAGGAACACGCCTGGTTCCAAACTGAGGTACTGGGTGGAGTTGTTTATTCGTTGCAACTGGCAGCCAGTTTCCAGTGCAGCAAAGAGAATAAAATGAACAGTTCCAAGAAGATTTTGGTGTCATGCCTTGGGCTCATATGATAGTGAGAGACCCTGTAGCCTTTTCAGGCTGAGGTCAGACCTAGTGGCCCTCATTGGGTGGGATTCCAACCCTGCTACACCCTCCATCCCACTTGCTGGGGGGGAGGGGAGGATGCTAGAACTCAGAGAGCTGCATCCTGAGGGGATAGGCTGACGAGGGCCTACCCCACATTATGGGTTACATGGGTAAGAAGCCCTGTTAGCTCTGGGGCCAGTTATGGTTATAATGGTCAGGAGCCCTGTGAATCCTACATTAGAACCAAGGTCTTGGAGAATATGTGTGATGGGTGGGTAATGCCTTTTCCCCCTGCTTAATTCTATGGGCCTGTCCTTATTTTGTTGCAGTGTCCACATCAAGCTCCACTATCAGCTCTTCATAATGATCCCTTAAATCCCCTTTGTCTTTGATCACTTAAATCTCTTTTGTCTTTTCCTTACACAGATACTCTTGAGTTTAGGGTCACAACCTCCAAACGCCCTCAATGCTGCAAACAAAACACTCATCTCTGCCAGTATTTAGGCTTTGAAGTAGCCAGCCCACATTCCTCTGTGGAATGCATTCTGCAGAGAGGTAGCATGTGCAGGGCAACTGCAGGGTCAGATGGTGTCTACATTAAAAAAGTGTGACTCTCCTGCACTGTATTTTCTGCGGGTTGGGCAAGTTCCACTATGCTCCTCATTCTGAACACAGGTCTTTTTCACAGGTGCCTCTGTGTAGCCCCAAAATTTGGGCCTTTAAAAAGGATCATGGAGGGGGGCTCATTTTTATTTGAGAGAGTATTTCAGCTGACACATAGGGAGGAATTCTCCCTTCCAAGCCATCATGCCATGTAAGGCCGGTGTTGGGGTGTGGGCAAAGCAGCCAATGGTGGAAGACCATTTGTATTCTGTCTGGATGGTTTTCATGCTGACTCTGAACAAGAATGAACTATTAGGCATGGGACAGTGTAGGACAAGGAAAGGCCACTCTGCATTTGCATAGTTCCAGTCCCTGTGAATCCCTGAATAGATATAGAAAGGGTGTGATGATTATTTAGTCCATAGATTCAAATAGCAGCTACAGGAAAATTGAACTACAGCTTCAAAACGTGCGGGCAGGTTGGGGAGGTGGATCCCATCCCATTCTAAAGCTGTATCTATTCTACCACTGACTTCACTATAACTTCTGTGACTCAGGCATGTGAATAAGCCACTCCCTTGGACAACATAAGTTATACCAGCTGAGCATTAGTGTGGTCACCACTATGGGCACGCTAGACTACATTCCACTTTCAAAAAAGGAATTTAAATGAAGCAAATGGAAAGTGCAAATGAAGCGCTGATTTAAATATCCCACGCTTCGTTTGCATATTCGCATCGAGTACTTTTTCGAAAAAGGGTTTTTCGAAAGTGAAAGCGCAGTCTAGTTGGGGTACTTCTGAAAAAAAACAAAACCCTTTTTCGAAAGAACCCGTACTCCTGAAAAAATGAGGAGTACGGGTTCTTTCAAAAGAACCCGTCTAGACTGCGCTTTCATTTTCGAAAAACCCTTTTACGAAAAAGCGCTCAGACGCAAATATGCAAATGAAGCGTGGGACATTTAAATTTGTGCTTCATTTGCACTTTCCATTTGCTTCATTTACATTCCTCTTTCGAAAGAGGAATGTAGTCTAGACATAGCCTATGTCACTGTGAGAGCTTCTCTCATCGACATAGCTACTGCCCCTCATAGATGTAGATTTATTATGCTAACAGGAGAGCTCATGAACACAGAGCATCTCCACTAGCCACCCAGCTATATTGGTGCAGCTGTGCCAGTGTAGCACTTGTAGAGTAGAGTCATAGCCCTAACTGCTTATTTCCTCATATGAAGTGCATTTCACTTTGTTCAACATTAGGTCACATTCACCCTCCCTGAAGCAGACATATTTGCTGAAGGAATGAAGTAAAACAAGATTACTTAGCATGAGACAGTGTCTGAATCCACTGCCCCTAGCAGTTAGCCCTCTGCAAAACTCTATGGATGGAAAGTGCTATAAAATGCTGAATAGAAAGAATTCAGAGCGCAGGTAGCTTGGATACAATTTATGTACAATGAAGAGATCAGTGAAAAATTTTGGGTGAAGATAGGGAGGAAAAAAGAAAAGTGGCCTCAGATTGTTAGACTTTATACCTTAAAATAAAAATCCATATTGAGGGGGGAAAAGATGCAAAACAAACAAGTAACATTCAACTTTTTAATGTCGTTAAATGTAAAATTAGCTTGAGATTAAATAATTTACTTAGTCCACATTAAAAAAATATGGTGGTCAAAAAATTTCAGTTGAAGAATATGTACCCAGCACAAATAATGCCAATAAGTAATTATCAGCAACATCTAGCACTATCATAGCACCTTGCATCTAATAATCTCAAAGGTAGTGCTAAATACAATAAATTCTTGAAGAATCTTTCTGTGTGTCTCTCTGAAATATGAAGATGTGCCCCTGAAAAGTCTGTGTGGTAACTTTGCCAGGTCAGTTCTATGTACCACACAAGAGGCCTGAGTGCAATTCCTTGTCTAGCTTGAGAAGGGGAGGATAATTGAAGAAATGATACAATTTCATAATCTGTATAGTAAAGAAATTCCCATGTACTTATGATGATGGATTTATTTTGTAATAATATAAACATACCTTAAATGCCATAAACTTGTGATATGGTTTAGGAGCCCAAGCATATATCTCTACAGCATTCTTTAAGGCAATCACCAAGAACTTGATTCTTTCATATTTCACTAAAATTGAAATAAAACTAATTTTTAAAACATCCATTTTACACAAACAAGACTACACACTTTATCTCAAAGAAGAGCTTCTGACTATCTTTTTGTTGTTAACAATTTTATCTGGTACACAGAAATGGATTTAAAGTTTAACTAGCATCATGGCATACTTATTTTTTGTTGCCTTATCGCTCTTCAAAATACTATCAAAATACAATATACTGCAATGGCATTTTGTTGGGCCACATCACCTAGAAATAAGAAGGGAAAAATCCTTTTCCTTATTGATTAGATCAGAACTAAGGTTACACAATCTAAGGAAAAATAAGATGTTTATCTTTCTTCGGAAATTAATGTTATATTCGATTTAAACATTTAATACAAGGGAATATTTAATAAGATAAGATACTTCCTTCAAAAACTCTTCCATCAGACTACCTTCCTCCATAGTGGACTATGAGTGGTGAAAGAAAGAGCAAACTTAAAGATGATTAATCCATTTATATGAATTATCACCAGCTGTTATAGTTAGGATCAAATTTCCAGGGGCATCTTTATTTATCCTTCATGACATTAATGGACCATCAACTGGTTTGACTATTTCAGGAAGACATTTTCTTACCCATGGTGGAAAATTGCACAGTTATGTGGGCTTTTATAACATACTGCAGAGCACTGGCCACTGACATAGGATTCCAGACTAGATGCTCTATTAGTATCCTTTGGCGTGTAAATGCCTACATTCCTTTCAGAAGAGTGTAAGAATACTATCATGGCTGACAGGTGATAATTTGAGCAGTACACCATGAATGTTTATCACTCAGCATAGTGGTTTTCTTTAATGCATATAGCTACAGAAACAGCCTACTCCTGATTGCTACTGCCTAGATGAAACTGTGATACAAGAAAGTCTCTTCAAAATTGCGAATTGTTCAAAAATAAGGAACACTCAGTGAAGACCTCTCAGCATCAAATGGCAAATGATCAATTGGAACATAAATGACAGAACCCGATTCTCCTTTGACGCCAGTTTTAGATTGGAGTGACTCCTTAAACTTTAGAGGAGTTACCCTCATTTACAACTGTGAGAGGGGAAATCTGGCCCTTAGGAATATATAAACATCAAGCAGAGTTGTCCCTCAAGTTCACTACTATTGCTGCTTCACACTTTCTCTTTTAAGTACTAGTACAAATGCAATGGTTGCTTAAGTTGTGGTTTTAAAAGCTATAATGAATTTCTTAAAACAATCTTCAAGAGAAACTCTTATGAGGTGACATACGACATTCACTCTGTTCCACTTACCAACTTTGTAATGTATGCAGCCTTCCAAGTCTCCAACAGTGATCCAGCCTTGCTTCTTTTCTACTTCTGGGTCATTGTGTAAAATTCTATTTCGTAACCATGAAAGGTAGTAAACTCGCAGCTTGTTCTTCTTTCCTGGTGAAAAACGAATCTCCCCATTAACACTTGAAAAAAACAACAACAAAGCAACTGTAACTCACACTCACTCAGTATTGACACTGTCCCACTTTAGAGGTTTATGAGTTTTGGCTAGCAGAAGAGCGGATTAGTTCTGGGAGTGAAGACTCATGCTTTTGGTTTCAGAGGTCCTGACAGGGACATTCTTACCCATACACAGAATATGCAGCTGAATTGGGCACCTAAAAATTTGGAGCACTATTGGATTTTAATGTCCACCAACTTGCCTCTTTCTGTCCCTGTTCTATGGCTCTGCTTCCTCTAAAGATGATCTAGTTAACTAAAATGCTGAAGCTTGCTATCCACTCATGTTGTTCAGACATTACTTAGGTGCAGAAATAAAAATAAATGAATAAAATATGCAAAAGGATTTAATTCTTCAATCTTTCCCCAGAACTGAATCATCATTTGGCAAAGCAAATTGTCTGAAAGATTTGAGATATGTAAAAAGAACTGAAACTATAACAATCCTGTTTCTTGGGTAATTGGGAGCAATTTGTACACAAAAAGAGTTTAGAAGTGAGGCCATTAAATAACATTTAGAAAGTAGCTGAAAACAATTTAAAACATCTATCCCAAAAGCCCAACCCTATCCCTACCAACTCCAGCCCCAGTGCTTTCAACTCTACTTTCCTGGCAAAGACAACAAGAACAGACACCTTTTTAATAAGATACCAAATGGCTAGGGATGTTAAATATCCAATAATTGACTAATCGAACAGTCGATGCATTTTGTAGCAACACCTATGGCAGTTGTTACATTTCAAAGGTGGAAGCACTGCGTGAAGCCCGGGGTCAGCTGGGGACTCCCCCGCTGATCCTGGGCTCTGTGCAGCACTGATGCTTTGAAACATCATGGGGAGCCCGGTATCAGGCTGCATGCAACATTTCAAAGCAGCAGTGCCATGAAGAGTCTGGGGTCTGGGTACCCCTTCCTGAACATTTCTTCCTGAGTACCCCTTCCTCTTCCTCCCCTCTAGCTGCCTCTTTCTGATAGAGGCAGCAAGTGGGGGGAAGCGACTAGTCAACTAGTCGTTCACATCCCTAAAGTCATGCAACAAATTCAGTATACAGCTTCCTCTTATTGTAATTTAAAACAAGGTAAGGGTTTGGTTGTGCCAGGAAAATGGGATGTGCCTGGAATGGGATTCCTTCTCATAAAACCGTACAGGAAAGAGATAGAATCACTAGGCAGGTTAATGGCGCTGTCTGGGGGCATGCCCCACTTCCGTCTGAGGGTGCCCCAACTCTGAGCCTCTTAGTCCCCAGGTGCCCTTTAGGGAGAGTAGAGACTTGAAGCAACTCTTGCAACCGAAGATGGAACAAGATGCCCCAAGAGATGTTTCCCAGATCTAATTTCTTTGATCCTGTAATTAAACTCAAAGCCAGTCTCAGTCCTCCTTCTGACATTAATGGCTGAGTACTGTCTGGGACAGAATTAAGGCTGTAATAGTGTAGTCAATTAACATAGAAGCAAATGCTTATAAGTTAATGCTATAGAGTACACGCATTTCACCCCCACCCCCAACACCAGTACATTCTTTAGCAGGCTGGCCAGCAACCCGACTCAGTCCCGGCTTGCACCAGGTCCAGGACCTACCTCTGCTGCAGCTCTGCATTTAAAGTGCATTAAGTAGTCAGCCCAGCTCAGTTCCAGCTTGTGCCAGGTCCAGGAGCTCACACCCCCTGCAGCTCAGAGAGGGGCTGCTGCCACCCCTGTATCAGAGGCAACAGTACAGGGTGACAGGCAGCCAGTCGACGAAGGGAGCTGGTGTTCACCAATACAAAGTCAGCAGCATGGCATGTCAGAGGGCTCCTTGGGAGAGGGGCCAGAGCGTACTGGCTGTTGGCCCCACTCCTGAGGACTGTAGAATAGTCGAGTAACCAATAAGAATTCATGAGGTTAATTTGACTATTCAGTTAACTGATATTTAACATCCCTGCACAGAACTGCTCCCAGGAAATCAGAAAGAAAAGGATTGTGAACAGTGAAGCAGAGAAATAAGTGTACCTGATATTGTCACAAGGACATTTAGTCCCTCTAGCACATCCATCTGTTGAAATCGCCTTCTGTTGATCAGATTGTACACCTTTCCTTGGCCACTTCGATCCAAGAGCATCAGTCCATTTTCTGTACCCACTAGCAGGTTAACACCTAGATATTGAACAAACAAATGGACTTATACCACACTCCACTGCTGCTACTTTAAGGGCTTGGTGCAAAGCCTATTGAAGATAACGCAGTGAAAGTCTTTCCATTGATTTCCATAGACTTTGAATCAGGGCTTAAATCTCTCTCTCTCTGCTACCTCAGGCTCCCAAAGAGGACGACAATCCCAGCCGCACAAATCTAGCATGAGATTATGTATCATAAATTTGGACAGCATCATTAGGAGAATTTCATGACCGCATCCCATTGGTGTGGAGATATTATCAGGCATGAAGAAGTTACAAGAGATTTGGCCAAGGCTGTCCAGCACAGTAGGGATGAGAGGTCTGTAATACTTATTCCCTGTCCATTGCTCTATCACTAAAGCATGAATAAGATTTTCAAGAATGTCCGGTTCTGAGGTGCCTAAGACCAATTTCCAATAGTGAAAAAATCCATGTGACTTAGGCTTCTAATTATAATTGATGTTCACTATTGAAAATTGGACTTAGGCTGCTAATTCACTTGGCATTTTTAAAGTGTTACCTCATGTTGCCTCTTCATACCCTTACAGCAATAGTATCACCATTAAAAGCAGTCACTAAAATATAAATTGCTGGACAACACAATTATGATGAAATACAAGGCAGAATTAGTTTCTTCTGAAACAGAGATCTCAGTTTTTAAGTTTGAATGTCTAGGCAGTCATCCACCCATATAAATGGGAATTTAATTGAAAATGGGACACATCTGGGTATCTAAGGGCCTATCTAAGAGCATACATATGATGTGGATACTTAAATTAGGGCTTGCCTACATAGCAAATGATTGTACATTCAAGCAGTGGGACTTTCATTGCATTGTAGCAGTGTCCACAAGAGATGCTACTGGCTGGCAAGCTGGCGTGCTGTAGATTCACACCTTTGTTGGCTACACAGTAATTCCTTATACAGTCAGGCCCTGAAGCCTCAAGGTTCCACCAGTTACAAATTGCTCAAAGTGCCTGTTGTGTAGCGTAAGGCTGCTGTCACATAGGGTGTGTCTAGACTACTGAGTTTTGTCGACAAAAGTGGACTTTTGTCGACAAAACTATACCTGCGTCTACACTACCGCTGAGTTCTGTCGACATAACGTCGACAGAACTCAACAGTTTTGTCGACGCTGGTAAACCTCATTTTACGAGGCATAACACCTTCTGTCGACAGAGTTCTGTCTGTAGGGTTGCGTCTAGACTACAGGGTTTTGTCGACAAAGCAGCTTGCTTTGTCGACAGAACTGAATGTGTCTAGACGCTCTATGTCGACAGAAGTTTTGTCGACAGTATCTGTCGACAAACCTCCCATCGACAAACCCCTGTAGTCTAGACGTACCCATAGTGAAGGAGCCTTTAATACAATTTATTTATAGCCCTAGGCTCTAGAAAACTTTGCAAAATAGTTAGATAGTTAGCAGTTTACCCCATAAAGCAGCACAAAGTATTTCCGAATTGAAGCGCTTCTTGTACTTCCGGATTTCCGGCGTGTCGCTGTGAGGGCGGATATTGGTAGGGTTCACATTTACCACAGAGATTTTCCTTGCCTCATTCAGTTTGGCCTGTTCTTGTCTAAGCAGTTCATTGGTAAACAGTGCTAAAAAGAAAACATATTAGTAGCAGCTTCCTCAATTCCCCTGCAGCTTGACTACTTTTCCTGGCTGCTTGAATCAGTAGAGAATTGTTCATTTTATTTTTAGATTAGGGATAAGATATTAAAAATGCTACAAACAAGCTAAGATAAATATTTTAGTGACGGGTGAACACCAAACGCTTAGGTAGCTGGTCTGCTAAAACCATCGCCTGTCATTATCACCAGAATGGTCTGTTTCCTTGAATTCCTTTCCTGTCTGTCTGTATCTACCTACTGTTTCTTATCTTAGATTGTGAGCTCATTGGGTCTTTTGGTTCTGTGTTTGCACAGTGCCTAGCACAATCGGGTCCCACTATTATTTATTAATTAAATGAAGAATAATATCAGCAGCCAAAGTTTATGAACTATCCAAACCTGTACTTGATTCTGCAAAAGGGTCCTAGAAATCTCTCCCCCACTAACAGGGAAGGTGGGCACATTTTCACAACAATTACTGCTTCCTCACAGGCAGGGGTGGAGAAGCTTTTTTGGACCACTGGCCCACAAAAAAATCAGTAGGGGGCCGCACACAAGTGAGAAAAAAGAAACAAAACCCCACTCTGACATGGCCCCCCACTGAGAAGGAGAAAGACACTCCCCACAGTCCCCTTGTACACCAGAGCCTTGGGGAACCCAGACTAGTAGACTTTTTGAGCTCCAGCCCCTTGTGCAGATGGTGGGGGAGGTCTGGATGGGCTCCCCAGTGCTAGGGGAGAGCCCCAAGCCTCGGGATTGAATCCAGGAAAACTTGGGTCTGCATCCAGGCCTTAGGCTTCCCACCCTTGCATCTCAGGCCTCTCGCATGGTATTTCATCATTCCAAGGTTTTACATGGAAAGTGGAAGGAATAATAAAATAAAATAAAATAAAATAAAATAAAATAAAATAAAATAAAAAAACAAGCAAAAACCCACAAAAAATAAGCCCAAACAAGAGTTAATGAAGGTTTTAAGGTGTGGATTATGTTCTAGGTGTGCATTCTGATCTCATTTAGTCCATGCCCCATGTTGGCCACACTGCTTCCTACCTGTAGCAGATGATTCTTCATCATCATCTTCATCCTCATCAGTAGGGGAGGTCTGATACACTCTAGTATCCACAAATGGAGTGAAAGAGGCTTTGGTGCTACTTCCCATGCCATACTATAAAACAAGCAACAGGATGATGGCTCAGAGGAAGAGAATAATACTTAATATCAATGTTTTTGGTTCCAGTGAACAACAAATTGAAATCTTTGCCCATGCCCCATTGTTCAAAACCATTCTCTTTGCCCTGTCTGATCAGTGTTTATATACATTTAAAATAATTAAGAAGCATTATATAAAAAGGGAGATTCATGAAAGATTGAATTGTGCTTTAAAAATGAAAGGTAGTACAATAGGCACCGTAAATTCTAACTACCAAACACATGATGATGCGGAAGAAAAATCTTAGGGTATGTCTACACAGCAAAGTTATTTCGAAATAACAGCCCTTATTTCGAAATAATTTTCCTAGCGTCTACACAGCCAAACTGCTATTTTGAAATAAATTTGAAATAGCAGAGCACTTATTTTGAATTTGGTAAACCTCATTCTACGAGGAATAACGCCTATTTCGAAATAAGTGCTGTGTCGACACTTATGCCTCCAGCCTTCCCAGAGTGCCCTGGTGGCCACTCCAGCCTGTTTCATTTTGTGTATAGACGTGTTATTTCGAAATAAGCTATTTCGAAATAACACTGTAGTGTAGACATACCCTCACTGACAAAGGTTTGGGATGACTGCATCTCATGACTGGTGAATCCAGGAGTGATTTTTTCAGGATGTCCCAGGGAAGAACAAACAAAACTTTAAATCACACTTCTCTGTATTTGAACATGCCACATGTTTTATAGAAAATTATTTCAAGAATGCTTGACAGTTTAAGTATTCCCATTGCTTTTCTTTTAAGGGGGGAGGGGGAGGAAGAGATACCTATGCATGTAAAGCTATGATGTTTTAATTAGCATATCTTCAACTATATGGTATATGGATTGCAGAAAGAAAGAAAAATAAATAATACATTTTCAAAACCTCTGAAAATTTCCCAGTACAACTTCTGTAGATATAATATTATAGTTTGACTAGGCATTACTCTCTTATCTGCTAGAACAAAAACAGAAATATTGATCCCATTGGAAAGTTACAAATCCTGGCCCTCTAAAAAGCACCCACTTCTAATCCTGATGGGTTATATGATGTTGGACTTTAAAATCCATCATTAGTCCAGGACAGAATATGTCTTATCTTGTTTGTCAAGATACTTTAAATTCTCAAATGAAATCACAAATTTGTGGGACTGTGAAGGATAGGAAAAGGGAGGAAATATTTTTGTGTCAAGTTGGCAGCAGAGATTTGGTATCTTAGAAGTACTCCCAACTCTTGACAGAAGTGGATTAGTGGGTAGAGCCCAGGTGAGGTGTTCCAAGAGACATGTGAAATGAAATTTATCCCATTGCTCTCCAATCTACCATGGTTCCGCAGTCTATCACATGGATGTAACCACCTCACATGTACAATATATATTGTTATTAAATCCTACCACTTAGCACTGGAGGTATTTCAATGGGCTACTTTGTTTCAAGAAGTTAGTTAAATGATTTCAGAATTAAAGTGAGAGGGGCCCCTATGGTCATATCTTAAATAATAAAACTAAACCGGAACATAACATAGCTGATGACAAAGCTGAGACTTGGTGATAGGAAACTGAAAAAGTTCTCCCATCACATTGCTCTCCTTTTAAACCCGGGTTTTGTTAGTGCAGGAAAATGAAGCTAAGACCTTCTCCTGAACAAAACAAAATTCTTATCATGGGACTCATAGTGGCATGTTTTCTTCCCCATACTTGAGCAGCTTATTTTTCTATCATCATATTTGCCCAGAGTATGCTATATTTATGACCTATATTCAGTGCTGTTACAATAGCAAGACTCAAGTTTTCCCACAAGAAACACCATTTTAATTTTAGCTCCTTAGTACAGGTTTCTTTCATGCCACTAAGGGCCAAAATCAAATCTGCTATCTTTGTACAAAGCCAGAGCTCAAACCCACTGCACTGAGTACTTGCATAACAGCCTGACTATAAGAAGATAAGCATACACTTTTATAAGGGTAGTTCTCTCAAAGGTAAGTATAATCTTACATTGCTCTCAAAATGTTACTTGGGTTTCAAGCAAAGACTGCAAGATTTCCTGAGGAACGGATTAAGCTAATAAGTTTAAGAGTGAATATTTTGTTGAAAAGACCTCTCTTGAGTTTTTCATTATTCAGATATTTGGTTTCCAAAATCTTTGCTGAATGAAGGCCTTCTTAAAATCTAACTCATGCAACACTCTGAAAGGCATTTAATTTAGAAACAACTCTGCTATGTAAGATTTCCCCTATTCTTTTTTTGCTCTTTGTAAAGGTGGCCTATATGATTAAAACAGAAGGATTAGGAGACAGGAGATCATGGTTGTAGTTCTGGCTCTGAACTTTGGCACACTGCATACCCCTAGGCAAATCATTTATATGGGGCATCAGAAAAGTGACCACAACGATCTCACAGGGGAGTTGTGAATCTTCTCTTATTTAAATACTTCAAAGTTTGAGGATGGAAAATGCCATTCAAGTGCAAAGTAATATCATAATGAACAAAAATCCAGTTTGAATAAACAGTTCATCTGCAGCAAGAATTATCTGGGCTGGGGATGTGGGGGCTGACAGAAGGGAGTTTTAAAAAGCCTTTTAAACATTTCAAAAGAACCATAGTGACTCTAGAGACAAAGTCCCATTGACAGGCAATGAAAGCTAGGGGCTTTGTAAACTGTACTCATTATGTGAAACCTGGCTGAGGTATGATTAAGGAACTATTTTAACAACTTACAAATATTTGAAGGGTGTAAATGCCAAGATGGGAGAGGGATCATTTAAGGCAGTACATGGAGATATAACTAGGGCTAAGAGGATTACATTTAAAAAGAGAAAAACTATGTCTAATATCAGGAGAAACTTCATTCCTGGAAGACGTGCAGAAGGAGGTGTGGAACAGCCACCAAAGAAAGTAGAAGCAGACTCATTGCTTATGACTGAACATTAATCAGAAAAACACTTGAAATGGTACCTTCGGGCACATTCCTGCACTAGCAGTGAGATGCCTCAGATGAGCTAGCAGTTTTCAGTGCCTACCTTCCCTGATTCTCCTGTTGTTTTCTCCCCTACCTTTTTCTCTGATTCATAATCTTCTGTGACATTGTCTCCATAACAACAGAATATGATGTAAAAAATAATTAATTCCCATGCAGAGAATTAACAGCCTGAAATGCATCCATAACAACAGAATATGATGTAAAAAATAAAGAATTAATTCCCATGCAGAGAATGAACAGCCTGAAATGCACTCTGAAAAAAATAGCTGATACTTGCATGCAAATGTATTCGTAAAATATAATACACACAAGCAGAATTGTTTCTATAAAAAATGTCTTTTTCAAAATATTCCATGAAGCATCGGCAACACTAGAAGGAAACATTTGCAGGGATTTTTCCCCTACTAAGGATAAGATACTTTCAAATACAAGATTTAGGATGGATGAAATTCTCTATTCTGTTGTGCCAAGTTTTTTCTTTTTTTGCTCAGACTCAGCTGTTCTTCATCTAAGATGCTGGCATTTTAACAACTTTCAGATCAGTTATTTGAATAGTAAGACCTCATCTTCCTGCAGGTCCTATTCTACCTTTTATAAACCTCTGTCTCAGCTTACCAAGCTGCAGTATAAGATAAAAATACTAAGTTTCCTCCAATCTGTTTAGCTCTGACATATCACCACTGGTTTTGCAGAGCTATACAGATGGAGTAATCACTGTCACTTCTGTAAGCTAGGTTCAAACCCACTCTTGATTAAAGTGACCAAAATAAAAAATACAAGAACAGTAATTTTTCATAGATATACCCCAAAGGAGTCACTTAAAACACGCTTGGGTCACCTTACTCCCTTCTGACACAACACAGGTACATGCCACAATACTCCCTATGTTATTTTTACCATTAGTCAGCATGACTGACACTGTTTCGCAAAGGATGAACATGTAATCTGAGTCTGCTAGAGGGCAGTTAGAAGACATGTATGATAGTGAAGTTATGTAGAATAAATTATTTCTCTGCAGGAACAGACTGCAAATCTGAGAATTCTTCTTCCCCCAGCCTTTTCACGAAAGGGTGTCTAGACTCCAGGGTTTTTTCGAAAAAATTTCCCCTGCGTCTAGACTGCTGCTGTGTTCTTTCGAAAGTAAATCTAAAGAAAGCGGCAGTCTTTTCGACCGCGGAAAACCTCGTTTTACGAGGAATAATGCCTTTTTTCGAAAGTGCTTTCACTGACCCTATGCAGGGCTTAAGAAGGTACACGCTTGCCCTAGGGTAGTTTCATCCTCCAGGCCAACCTTCTAGGCAACAAGACATCTATGCAGATTCCCAATGTGACAGGAGTTTCTACTAATGGTATTGTGACTCAGTCTGGAGTCTTACACCCATTCTCAGCTTGTCCAGCCCTAGAAATTGTATTTTTTGAAACTTACAAGGATTCTTTGGTTCACACACTATAAATGTATATATTTAAATACAATCCCTCCGTGTTATGTCTCCATTTTTTGAGAATAGTCTGAGAATGACTCCAGAAATATTTGCTTTTATAGACATCTGACTCCCTCTTGTCCTTAGAAGGAAACAGATAAAACCTTTAGGCCAAAACATGGACCATAGGTCCTTATGTTTTAGAAGGAATAAGACCCTTTATTCCAAGCAGTTTATTAATTATATTATTAAAAATCTTTAAAACGGCTAGATAATCTGAAGTGAAAAGAATAAAATAATACATCATATTGCCTATGGCATTTAGTCTATGTCCTACGTCCACATCAAAATAAAAGTTCTGTTTCTTATTGAACATTCACCCACAGATTTTACTTTATACTAGTTGATGTGGGCTTGCATCTGAAATCAGAATTTGGCCCAAAAAAAAGTGTGAATGATATACGGTAAAAGGACTATGAATGACAGGCTTTGACTCACTCTGTCTATAAGTAAGAACTTAAGTTTATTAGGATTTTTGTATCTCATGAAGCCAAAAAAAACAATCCCCATTTAACTACTTCGCTGCCAACAAGCTAGTAGGAGAGTCACTTTATGCTGCATGTAATCCCCCACAACTTGAAAGGTATGCTGCATTTTGGCGTAAAGAACTCCACAGCATTTTTCTAATCCAGGGCTACTCAACACGTGGCCCGTAGGCCACATGTGGCCCATAGCCCGTTTGCTTGTGGCTCGCGGTACAGTTTGGGTTTATGGTGAGGTTTGGGTTGCTATGTGTTTTAGTAGTTAAATTCCTGGACTGTTGTGAAGCCAAACCAAAAGAGTAGTCAATATAATGGTTTTCTGTTGATATGCATTTTAGTAATTAAATTCCTGGACTGTCATTTGCTCATTAAAAGTGCTGTCATATGGGTGGAATCTGGTAAATATTGCATTTTATTAATATCAGCAGAACTGACTTAAATGGGGCCTGCGTGTGGTGCAGTCTTGCCTTAATTTTTGTATTCATGCCCGTCAGTGTGAAAAAGCGATTTGCATATATTTGCATATCTATTTCCATGTATATGCAACCACACTTAAGTTGCGGTCCTTGGCATGTGCTATGAGTATCATTGTGGCCCCTGGGGCTTCCAAAATTGAGTAGCCCTGTTCTAATCACTCTTTTGGTTCACTTTACCATCAGAGATGAGCTAAAGGGTGGAATCTGAACCCTAGTGGAGTCAATGGCAAAATGACTTCAACAGGGCCAAGATTTCACTCCCAAGTTGCTAAGTTGAGTCTCACATCTGAACTCTCACAAACATCGCTACACATTGGCATCAACTGCTGGGTGTGAAATGAGCCCTAGTGCAAATTTCCACCTTTACAACATATTACGATGTCAATTACTCAGCAGATTCAATGTTACTTCAGCTACATTCCTAATCATAATCATGGACCAGAAACAGATAGGAGAGCAGAAATGACTGAAAACACTGAGAAAGTCCTTTCCTCAAAGGATGTTAATTCTTGTTCAAAGCAATGCAAAGGAAGAGGAATAGCCATGTAACAAAGAGGCCCCACCACCTACTTCAGCCACTGAGTCCATGTCTTGCGCATGTGTAGAGACTCGCCCCAGGGCCTCGGTCGGTGTGCCTGCAGGCGAGTGGCTTTGCTGCACCAGATCAGGGAGATTGATGTGCCCTGCAAAGCCATTGCTGGCTGCGTGGCTAGAACGCTTTTTTTCACCAGTTGTCTGCAGAGACACAAAGTACAAGGAAGAGGAGAAGGAAAAAACAAACAGATCTACTGCAGTCTACCCCGACACCAAAGCAAGCACAGAACAAGAGCCCTCTTTGCCATATTCTCCCCATGCAAATCTGGCAAGCAGCAAAATATAAACCAGGAGAAAGAGAGAATTAATCACAAAGTAAATTCAGGAGCAATTAGTCATGTTACATCAGCAGAAGAAGTCTGATGATGATGATTTTGGATTAACCTTTCTGTAACAAAGCAACCCTGGACGACATTCCACCCTGGGACTTGCAGATGCAAATTTTCCAGGGCCAGCGGTCATTTTTTCCTGAGACTAGGTCCAGGCCCATTGCAGTCTTTGGGATCTGTGCTTGTATGATGGAGGGCAGATTGGGTCCCTCTGCCTTTTAAAAACTACAGTGGTCTGATTTCAGGATTCCCGCAGTAGCTAATACAGTTCTAAAACCACATTCCTGGAGTTACCAAACAACAGTGGACAGCATCAGCATTTCCCTTCCTCACAATAAAAGATCTATTTTCATCTGGCTGTGCACACAGAGCTCCCATTAGCGTCAAAAAGGGCTACATGCCTCTGTGGAAAGGAGAAAAACCTACTCCATATACATTTTTAGGGAAGTGATTTAATCCAAGAACATTTTATTTAATTCTCTCCCCTCCTAGAGACTCCCCCTAGCAACCAGCAAAGCAGATCATCTCCCCAGACTGCACAGGTCGGCTACGTCTACACTGGCCCCTTTTCCGGAAGGGGCATGTTAATTTCAGCTATCGTAATAGGGAAATCCGCGGGGGATTTAAATATCCCCCGCGGCATTTAAATAAAAATGTCCGCCGCTTTTTTCCGTCTTTTAGAAAAGCCAGAAAAGAGCGTCTACACTGGCCCCAATCCTCCGGAAAAAGTGCCCTTTTCCGGAGGATCTTATTCCTACTTTGAAGTCACTTCCCTAAAAATCCTACTTTGAAGTAGGAATAAGATCCTCCGGAAAAGGGCACTTTTTCCGGAGGATTGGGGCCAGTGTAGACGCTCTTTTCCGGCTTTTCTAAAAGCCTGAAAAAAGTGGCGGACATTTTTATTTAAATGCCGCGGGGGATATTTAAATCCCCCGCGGATTTCCCTATTACGATAGCTGAAATTAACATGCCCCTTCCGGAAAAGGGGCCAGTGTAGACGTAGTCGTCATGTTTGACACCTGTTTAGCAGAACTCACCGGCAGGGCATTACACTTCCAATTGGGTGCTGCTCATAACAGTTAAGAGAAATTCTTGAGCAGGCTATTGCACCTGAAAGATGGCTGGGGCTGCGATATGCAGCCATAGCCTACATAGCCCTGATCCTTGCAGCTGGCAAATTCTCAGGTTACCAAAGAGTCAAATATGAAAGACAGAGCAAGGAAGAAATGATTTCCCTGAAATGGCTTTGGTATTCATCAAAGTTTGGAGTTTAAGATCAGTCTCCATTTCTCCATGACATAATTGAGTAGCTGTCCATAGCAAATGCCCTTACCGCCAAGGGCGGTGATTTATTTCAAGCAATCACCCTCTCTGGCATGTGTTTTTCCCACGCAGAGAGAGTATTGTTATGGAAGTTCTCCCTCATTCCTATTTTGATTAGCAATTACACCAGTAGCATGTCCATTTGCAGGGAGTGTAGACTCCTCAAAACCAGGGATGCTGCTAAGTGTAACAGGCATTTGCTTTATGCAGTGTTGTAGCTGTGTCAGCCCCAGGATATACAGAGACAAGGTGGCTGAGGTAACTTTTTTGGTGGACCAACTTCAGTTGGTGGAGAGGCCGAACTTTCTAACTATATAGAGCTCTTCTCCAGGTCTGTGAAAGATACTAAGAATGTGACAGCTAAACACAAGACTGACCAGATACAGTAGTTTGGTAGCTAGCACATGGGCTAAGAGACGTGCCCTTTGATTACTGAACACTTTTCACCTTAAAGCTATACATTGTCCTTGTGCAGGGAAGAGAACAGAAAAGGCCTGATCCAAAGCCCAAGTCAGAGTTTTCCCATTGAGTTCACTGGGCTTTGGATAAGGTCCTAGAAGAGTAATAGGAAGGTTTGTGTTGGACACTGTATTTTCTACTACCAGGTAGTTTTGCTGCCTGTTGCTCAATTGTTTTAAAATCCTTATCTGACACTAGTGTTCGCCTATTATATTATTTTCATATTTTACTCCTCCCCAGTCCTCCCTAAGAATCAAGCAAGGTGGAATAGGAACCACAGAGAATTAAACCAGGGAGATTTGATGAATGTGGCAGACCAAGATTTCAAACTAGAAAAACAAATAATGTACCCAAAATATTCCGTGTGAGGACCACAGCCCTGTCTCCGTAATTCCTTAAAACCAGAAGTCAAATTTATTGTGGACTTTGGAGACATGCTTGATGTCAAGCCAGGAGACTTCTCCATCTTGGCACTTCATCTTCTTTATAAATGCAGTCACTGACATTATGTTCTAGGTTTTTTGGGTCTCCTTGTATAGGAGCCAAGATATTGCAATTAGAGTGTTCAGATAAGAAGTTATAATTATACTAAATCAACTGAATGTCCCTGGCAGATGGCTAAGTTGTGGTGGGGAGGGTTTGGAAACTGGTGAAAGGAAAGAAACTTTGGCCAGACTCCAATCTCTCTAACAATGGTGTAGATTGAGAGCAACTCCTTTGGCTTGGACTTCTGATAATAGAACCATAGGGTTGGAAGAGACCTCAGGAGGTCACTGAGTCCAACCCCCTCCCCAAAGCAGGACCAACTCCAGCTAAATCATCCCAGTCAAGGCTTTGTCAAACTGGGACTAAAAACCTTTAGGAATGGAAATCTACCACCTCCCTAGGTAACCCATTCCAGTGCTTCACCACCCTCCTAGTGAAATAGCCCACCTTAGACCTCTCCCACGGCAACTTAAGACCATTGCTCCACATTCTGCCATCTGTTACTACTGTGAACAGCCTCTCTCCATCCTCTCTAGAACTCCTCTTCAGGTAGTTGAAGGCTGTTATCAAATCCCCCCTCATTCTTCCCTTCTGTAGACTAAGCCCAAATCCCTCAGCCTTTCCTTTTCAGTCAAGTGCTTTAGCCTCTTAACCATTTTGATTGCCTTCTGCTGGATTTTCTCCAATGTGTCCATATCCTTTCTGTAATGGGGGCTCCAGAATTGGATGCAATACTCCAGATGTGGCCTCACCAGTGCCAAATAAAGAGTAATAATCACTTCTCTAGATCTGCTAGCAGTGCTCCTCCTAGTGCGACCTAATATGCCATTAGCCTTCTTGGCCACAAAGGCACACTGTTGACTCATAGACACACTCTTGACTTTGATTTTACATCTGAGGAAATTACATCAAATCCACCCCAGTCCTCACTAGTATTACTATTCACTGCTGTTTTTAGTGTCAAGAATCATTTATGTTTGTCATATTTGTTTATACTGCCTAATTATATTACTGAGCCTTTAATAAGCACAATTTAATCAATCATTTTCTGTTTAAAATACACAGTGTAATTTTTTCATGCTTCCAAAGACAAAACCTACTAAAGATATTCCATAGAAACTCTTATCTCCTACTTACCTCCCTTACCATTAAAGTTCCTTCTCTTGATATACTGTTAAATGTATCTGCATTGGATGTTTCAAGACTATGGGATGCCACCATTCCTAGACTGTATGGTTCATTGTTTCCCGGAGCTCCTGTTGGTCTGGAGGTTGAATGGAGAACATTGGTGATACAAATTTCTGTCATGTACAAAAATGTATTCTCTCTGTATCACAGTCCAAGGTAAAATGGGCCTTGATATAGCAGTAGGGACTTACGGGTGTGTCTACACTGCACACTATGGTCCACAGATATGTCTACCCACCATGTCTATGGCTACATCTAAATAGCATGACTAAACACCAACTGCTGGCCCACATCAGCTGACTCCAGTTTAAGGGGCCTGGGCTGCAGGGCTGTAAAACTGCTGTGTAGACATTCAGGCATGGGCCCGATGAAGGGGAAGGATCCCAGAGCCCAAATGTCAATACTGTAAAAATGTTAGCCCTCCACCCAAACCCCACAGGCCTGAGCCAGCCACTGCCATGCTGTGATCTTTTAGTCCGGCCCAGATACACTCTGTGGGATCTGGACTTACTGCAGCTTGAGATGCAGCCACACTCTAAGGGTATGTCTACACTACCACCCTAGTTCGAACTAGGGTGGTAGTGTAGACATACCCTAAATGACAAGGCTTGCACCTGAGTCACAGTGAGTCTCAGTTGGCCTGCCAATGGAGGAGGAGAGACAGACAGGCTCTTGCCCCAGGGCCCGGTGATTCAAAGGGACATGGGGCTTATAGCAGCCACTGTTGCTACCGCAGCAGTATTGGTGGCTGGAGCCGTTGGCCCTCTGAATCACTGCTGAAGTGCCCCATGTTCTGTGAAGCTCTGAGGGCTGGCTGGGGCGGAGTGTACCACGCTCTAGGTGGTGTGGAGGACTGGTTGCCACAGCCTCGCTTCTTCCACCCAAGGCCCTGCCTCTTCCGGAAGTGTGAAGCCCCTCCCACGTTGCCCAGGGGCCCACACAGGCTGTCAGCCCCCCTGGTACTCAGGTTCTGATCCATCCCCCTAACAGGGTTCTAGGATCTGGGTTTTGAGTGTTTGCTGACTTATAGGAGATTGATTTGTATGTGGACAGAGTGGGGGCTTGGACTGAAACCCGCCTCAGAGCCCAGGTGTAGTGTGCAGTGTAGAAATAATTGTACAACTATTCTAGCACTAAGAGTAAGGATCAGGCCGTGGTGAATTTTCACTACTTTTTTGTGGAGTGTCATTCATAATCTTGCTCATTCTGTTTCTGTATGCACATTATTGTCAGAGCAAAGAAAGTCTGTCTAACTGGATGCTAAAGCAAGCAACGTTTTATGATCAAGCAGTTTTAATGCTTCCTCCAGAGAGAAAATTCTTCAGTATTTACAACTGCAAAAGCAAAGGGCCAGAGACAAAAGACAGATTCTGTAATCTACAAAAGCTACACTGCAGCATGCAGTTGGCATAAAGTGGCCAGAGACAACCAGTGAAGAATTTGCTCTATGTAGAAGGGAAAGTAGAGAGGACGTGTCAGAGACATTTTGAAGGGATCTGGGTGGAGTAGAGCTCCACCATGCCTGATTCTCCACTGGCCTAAGGTGCCCTGCCTAGTGTGTGAATTAAAGGCATTTTGTATTCATGCTTTAAGCTCATCCCTAAGTAAGAGACTATAGTGTGTGTATATATAAAGGGCTCTCCCTGCCTCTTTTTTATGTGTTATTAAGTACTCTCATAATCTGGTTGGACAGCGCCAAGTTCTGCAAGCCACAAGCTGTATTCTCCTGGTATCATCTCAACAGCAAAGGGAAATACTTTATAATGCTAGAAATACAGTGACAAGGGCTAATAGCTATATTACTTTCAGGAATAAGAGATCCTCCGGAAAAGGGCTTTATTCCGAAGGATCGCGCCAGTCTAGATGCTTTTTTCCGGCTTTTCCCCAAGCCGGAAAAAAAGCGGCGGACATGTTTATTTAAATCCCGTGGGGGATATTTAAATCCCCCCGCGGATTTCCCTATTCCAAAGTTGGAAATTAGCATGGCTATTTCGGAATAGGGGCCAGTCTAGACGTAGCCAGGGTGTTTTCAACAGATTCAGAATACTTTGCAATCTCAGACGGGTGTTGGGAAGATAAATTTATAAATTGTTGTGAGAGGCTCAGATATCATGATCGAGGCCACAAAACAGCTGAGCAAGAAAGAATGAGAGTTGCAGGGGGCACTGAACATATTCAAGGATCAGGCCCTCCAGCACTTGTTCCCTTTTGGTTTTGGAAGATGACATGCATGTACAAGCACTGAACCCAGGGGGAATTTTGCTGCTGAGTTCATTGGGAGTAGGATTAGGCCCAGTCATTTAAGTGCAATGCTGAGAATTTGATCTCCCCCAGTAAATAAGTTTCCAATGGTCATCTGAAATGACTGGTTTTCAGTCAGTGAATCATCCAAAGTGGTAACCAGCACTGGCGACAGATTTCGCCAGGCCCTGGGCAAGGTAATAGGGGCTCGGCTCTGGGCCCAGCAGAAGGGGAGGATCCTCGGGTAGCTGCTCGAGGCAGCCAGCCCTCATTACCACCCAGACCTCTCTGCACCTCCCCCATCCAGCTCTCAGCACCGCCCAGACTGTGCCACATGGGGATCTGGTGGAGATTTAAAGGGCCAGAGCTCTGGCTTCTGAGTTAGTGGCAGCGGCAGCCCAGAGCTCCAGGTCCTTTTAAATCACTGGGCCCCAGGGTAACTGCCCTTTTTGTCCCTCATCCCACCCCCCTTGGTATTCCCAGTCATGACTGGACTCCTAGACTCACTAAACTCAGAAAGATGGCATCGTGGCCAGAAGCTATGGGTACAGGAAGGTCAGTGTGGTATTACATGGTTCTCAAACTCTTCCAGACTACAGACCACATCTTAGCAGAAAGAATCCCAAAGTCCTCTCATTTCCCATTCACGACTGCACTCTGGCAACTAGAATGACTTCAACTGCCTACATGGAAAGTGAAATCAGTGATACTGATGTGTTTTTAAGTTTACATTCTCAGCGAAGAGCCTAGATAGTGAAGCATGTGGTAGTAAGGAGGAGGAGCTAGTACATGTAACCTGCCAACACTCCAAAGCCTACCAGCAGGTGGCCAATAGACTGCCAGTGACTTCTGGACCAGCTGGGAACCACTGTACATCAAGATAAAGTTATATGCATTTTGCAATTTCACTGCCTTGCCGTTAAATAATTGGTCTCTTACATAAGCCTTGGAATGTCACTGACAGGCACTGTTCCATCGTGCGTTTCATTTTCACCATCCTCCTCTTCCTCTTCACTGCTTTCTGATTCCTCGCTGGAGGAAGAGTAGTCAGTCACCTTTTTCAGAGGGCGATTGGTCTCTTCAATACGCAGTTCCCTCAACTCTTTGGCTAATGCAGTCAGGTCCTAAGGAGAGGCAAAAAAATTAAAAACCCAACATGAATTTTATTTAAAGCAAGAGAAGTGCCACACACGTCTCTTTGAAAGCCAAGCACGAGCAACAAGAAATAGCGTAACAGAATTATTACAAACATCAAACAAACATAAAACAATGTTTGTAGCATGTAGCATTTCTTAAACAAAATGAAACTGACTTTAATTTTCAACGAACATAATCACCAACCTATTTTTAATATGTATGTATGTATGTATGCGTGTGTGTATATATATAAACACATATGTATATACACATAAAAATTATATTTGTTGAAAAGGTGAAGTTCAATCACCATCATAGTAAACTGGAAAACAATGATATTCCAAAGCAAGAGTGCCGCAGGAGAAATTATCCAAACCAGTCTTCTTCTTGGCCTCTCAAAGACACACTATAATGGTATTTGCACCATTACAAATGCCATTGGAAGGAAAGCAACGACTACATTTCCAAAAGAATGGTGCAATCCCCAAGGCAAGATCCATTTCAGTTATCACTCTTGAGTTGACAGGAGGAAGTTGCCAGGAAGCAGTGACATGGCATCATAGTCAAACTCCTCAGCTCACTGCAGCACTAAGTTTTTGAGTCATGGCTCTCAGTCAACCACAACTGAAAAAAAACAACCGCTCAGAAGAAATAGCTTAAACACTTTATGTGTAACGTGCAACATGTCCTCGCTTTAAAGATAAGGAATTTTTTTTAAAGAAGAAATAGCTTAAACACTTTATGTGTCACGTGCAACATGTCCTCGCTTTAAAGTTAAGGATTTTTTTTTTTAAAGTAGGAGTCTTTATAAAAGGTCATTTTTTCAGTTTACCATGACTTGAATGAAACCTTAGACCTGACAGTTATATAAAATAGACAGTTACTTAAGTACAAGGGACATTGCAGGCACTGTGTAGAAAATAGACTTTTTATTATCTTACATGCTTTTATAGCAATGCAGGGGGAAGCAGTAGGGCAAAAAAAAGCATGAGAGCTCTAATTAGAATGGGTTAGAGTACTCTATTGCACAAAGCATGCACATGATGAACAACGCATTGCAATTGTCAGTCTTACCATTTCTCCCTATATTAGTGACCGATGTAGCCATCAGTGCATTCGGTCAGAGATAAAGGATTAGGGAGAAAGAAACTCATTGAAAAATACTAAATTCCACATTTTTCTTATGGCCATATTCTCTCTCTACTGCATTCCACAAATCTCCAGTATACTGTTCCAGCAGAGCGACTAGAATAACAATATTAATTAAAATTGTGCAGGTAAGGTCTTAAGATTTACCCCTTGGCAGCAGAGGAAAAATATGAAAAAAATACATAACTGACACTGAAAACCCAGAGTATTTTTAGTAGAGAAGCTGTAATATTTTGCAGATCAAATTTTACTTTAGTTGTTTGTTATTCCTGGCTTAAGGACGTAATAAGCTCTTCCGGCGTCATTTGGATTAGAAACTCAAAAAGAAGCCCAAACCGTGTTAAGTGAAGTAAGTAATCATTCATCCCTAATTCCACACTGATCAAATCAAATGCTTTATTGACATTTAAATTTTCCCTAAAGTCAGACCTAATTGGTGCCTGTTGCAGTAAGAAACCATCAGAAACTCTCAGTCATTTGAAAGCGAAAAAGAGCAACAGCATGATTATTTCATTCTTCACAGGGGATTTTTATTAATATCATTGTTTGAGGTCAGCAGTCTTTATCTCAGTGCAGTGACTTAGTATGGGGACATGCCTACATGCTGCTCCCAGTTACACCCCTTTGATTTATTCCCCTGCAACCATTCCACATACATTTGAAGTCATTGTAACCAAATTTAGATTTTGGCAGTCCCTGTGGATGCACCATGCCAGCAAGATATCCACATCCAGAAAGGACTTTTTCCCTCTCTATTTGTGCCCCACCATCACTAAGCATGAGCAACATTTTTTAGGTCAGTGTATTATTGATCTACAGACTCTCATCCATGTTTTGAGAAAATGGTAAGAACATATTCCATATAAAGAGCATAGCTAGGGGTTCAAGACTGAAAATAGAGGATCTAATCCAAGCTCATTAAAGCTCATTAAAGTCAATACAAAAACTCACTGAGTTCACTGGGCATTGATCAAGTCAAGTAAAATAAAATAAAATTAAAATTTAGGTTCTGTTTTACAAGAAGTAGTACTTTGCTTTTCTATAGTGCTTCTGAAGAAGATCTCCAAGCATTTTACAAAGAATTTCAGAGGGGTATCCGTGTTAGTTTGTCTCTGCAAAAACAACGAGTCCGGTGGCACTTTAAAGACTAACAGATTTATGTGGGCATAAGCTTTCATGGGTAAAAAACATTTCAGTTCCATGCATCTGATGAAGCAGTTTTAAAACCCACAAAAGCTTATGCCCAAGTAAATCTGTTAGGCTAGGTCTACACTACACCCCTCTGTCAGCAGAGGGATGTAAATAAAGCACATCAAAAGTGCAAATGAAGCGGGGATTTAAATATCCCACGCTTCATTTGCATAATCACTTTCTGGTGCTGTTTTGAACAAGCGCCGTTTTGACGCGGTTTAGATGTGGTTCTGCTGACAGTGGGGTGTTTTTTTGACATCCTGTACTCCTCAAAAAACAAGATTGTTGAAAAAATCACCCTACTGTCAGCAAAACCGTGTCTAAACCACCGTTTCAGTTTCAAAATGGCGCTTGTTCGAAACAGTGCCAGAACGTGATTATGCAAATGAAGCACGGGATATTTAAATCCCCGCTTCATTTGCACTTTTGATGTGCTTTATTTACATCCCTCTGCCAACAGAGGGGTGTAGTGTAGACCTAGCCCTAGTCTTTAAGGTGCCACCAGACCTCTCTTTGTTTTTACAAAGATGGTAAGTTATTATCCCCCTTTTACAGATGGCACAATAAGGCATAGAGAGGGACTGTGACTTGCCTATGGGTATCTAGAGGGCTAGTTGCACAGTTGGGAGTAGAATCAAAGTCTCCCAAATTCCAGTCTAGTATTCTATCTATTAAACTCACTTTCTCAGATATGCTGCATTTCTCACAAAAACAAAGTGTTGCTAGTTTCTTAGAATGGATCTTTATTATGACTAAAGAATGACTAAAGAGAGACTATGGTATTTAAGAATTAATTTTCAATGCCAATAACTTGGTGATTGAAATATAGTCAAATCCGCAAACATAATGACTAATTAATCAAGCAGTTTATATGGTTGGTTTGTTCGGTTTTTCTAAAATGATACAGGTAAATGAAGATTTGAACTGTCTAAAGAGGTTTTAAGTCTATAGTCAAAAACCTACTAATTCAGTAACCACTCTTCATTGAAGTGGTCAGAGTTCTCCCCAACTTTCTGTATAAAGGAACACTACAAAACAGCATCTCATTTAAAGTTGTAATTCTCCCAACATTTTAGGACTAGCACCAATTATTTCCAAGCATCAAGGGACCAGATTGTGAAAAAAACTGGTCTCCATTTTCACACCTGCAATTTCCAAGAAAAGGTAATTGTACATATTAAATTACATCTACATTATTCCTGCCCACAAAATGCAACAGCCAAGAGATTAAAATCTGAGCATGGATTTCTTAGTCTGATTTCTCAGGGCCGTCTGACCACCCTTAAAGACATTGAACAGTAACTTACTTTGCAAATATTCCCATGGAAATCAAACAGATTGCTCCTAGAGTAAGGCTCAATCTCAAAGTAATAGTGGTGCTTAAAAAACAAGCATGTAACATAGGGGTGGGCAATAAGCTACCCAGGAGCCAGAGTAGTTTGTCAGGGTTAGCCCCTGGCCAGCTGCCAGCATTTTATTTACCTGCACATTCACAGGTACTGCCACTTGCAGGTCCTGTTGGCTGCGGATTGCTGTTCCCGACCAATGGGACCTGCGAGAAGCAGTGTCCTCATCTACACCACTTTCTGCAGCTCCCATTAGCTGGGAATGGCGATCTGTGGCAACAAGAGCAGCTGTATCTGCAGAAGTGCAGGTAAATAAAGCACCAGCAGCCCGCCAGAGGCTAATCCTGGCCAATCACCTCCAGCTTATTGCCTACCCCGATGTAATATATCTGAAAGCCTGGGAATGTTGCAAGCCTTCAGCCAGACACAGAGTTGATTAACATAAATATATTATCAGTCTGCCATAGGTCATCATTAATAGATAGTTAACCAAGTATTGTTTAATACCAGCTTGATTCGTTTTTAAGATCAAATTTGGAAGTTATAGTAGGAATAATACTCAGTGTCACACAATACCATGAGAAAACCCATATTTTCCAGTGTAGGCTCTGCCTTGGGGACGGTTAATTCTTTGATGCTATCATTTTCTCTAAATAATGACTTTATAGGTTTTAGTGATTCATTGCCTCACTTTTGGATCAATCCTCCCTCTCCCCCAAAAATCCAACAGCTAGAAAGAAAGTGCTCTTTAGCACCAAATAAAGTAAAAAATGTTATTACTGAAAGTGACATAAGATATGAGATAGCACTACAGTTAAATTACTCTTACTTGCAAAGGCTTCTTTAAATTTAATATTTTCTGGAAACAGGTCAGTTCAGTTTCCAGAATCACACAGCTCATTTAACTTGAATTTTACATTAATGTCGCCCCATCTGGGTATTGATTGATGTGTTATTTTATTAGCAAATGATCTCATTAAACAAAATGCTTTGCTTGTGTTCACGCCAAGAGAACCAGCTAGCTGTTTTCTCTTTTATTTCTTCTTCTTTGTATAGTAAATCATTTAAAAAGGGTCACTTACCACTGTATGTGGAAAGATAAGTTATCAGGGCAGTTCACAACAGAGGTTAGTGCATGTGCAAATATGTGTAAGACATTTCATAAATACTAGATCAGAAATGTACCACTGACAATATAGTCTTGTTAGTAAAGATATTTAAAAATTCAACATTGTCAGATGTACAAATCTGTTTTAATAATATTTACATATGGCAAGAGTTGTAAAATTCATATAACTTAATTTCTGTGTTTAAAAAATATGAATGGACTGTTAAGACTGGCATTGCCAATCAACACTCATGATAGCAACACTAGCTTTGAGCCTTCTAGATTCAACCCAGTTATCTGAATGCAGATGCACTGTGGTTACTGGTGAAGTGGTGGATAGGTTTGAAAGCCAACATAAGATCTGTTATTAAATGTGGAGATAGACACAGCTCAAGTGAACCCAGGTCTCAAAAGCTATATTAGCGAAATCCACGTGCAGAACCGTGCAAGAAGGAGCTGCCTTGCAAACCATCTCTGAAGAGTTACAGCGTTTTCCTGAAAGAACATTATGTAATTTTAAGTCTGATCCTACAAGGTGCCAAATGCCATCATCTGTCACCAAAGTGAAGGAGAATTGAGTGCACTCAGGCCCCCAGAACAGAACTGCTTAGCACGTGGCAGCATTTGGCCCTTTATTAGCATTTCTATTTAGTATAAATTCACACCTACTCTGCTGTATTAGCTAGAAATAGTTCATGGCATCACAGTTACAAATGCATTAAATGACATCAATATCAATATGGTGTTTTTGTGATTGTCCTAACACAGTGATGGGCAGCCTGTGGCCCATCGAGATTCTGTGTGAGGTCTGCGAGACATTTTGTTTATTGCTGCCCACGCCCAAGGTTGCCAGATTCTGCTGGTTTCTATCTGTGTAGGTTTTTTTTCCCCCTGCTAGTATTACCAAAGTGATGTGCATGTAAAGCAAGGGCATGCGAAGTGAGGTGCATTCTGACTGCATACAACACTGATTGCAAGAGCCATGCACTCCCTCTGCATCCAATCAAAATGCTGCCACAGTTCAGTCAGCACACCCCACAAATTCTAGGTGCGCAAGTGCAGTTAGAAAAACTACCCTATCCCGGGAGACCGACTTAGTTATGACAACCTTGAGGCCCGCTGAGATAAACGAGCACAAATTTGCACAACATGCCTAGGTTGCCTAGCCTAGGTTGCCCATTTCTGTCCTAGCAGATAAGATATCACTAGCTACAGCAGGACAGTGACTGTGTAATCTTCAACCCACGCTGACCCACTAATGTACTGTAACTACCTCTAGGTAGTGAAAAGAGCATCACAGAATACACATCCATTGAATCCTTGCTCTTTTCCCTCAGGCTGCCAACAAATTGTAGCCATGTTTGATTAAGTCTCTCTCACTCAGAACTAGGGGCAAAAGAGTCCATATTCCATCCACGCTTCTGAAATACCTGAGCTCTGCCTACTAACCGTTTTCTAAGGAAGCGGAAGTATCAGCTTTTTTGGTCTTAAAATGAACTCAGGCGTGTTTACGCTACCAATAAAACACAAACAGTTTTCCATTCAGAAAGTCTGTTTTAACAAGTCACCACCAAACTCACATCATAAACACTGTTATTTTTTAACCTTGATATTATTTTTTAAACAAAAATATCTCCCCATGGGATATGGCCTATGCGGATTCTGGGGCAGGGTGACTGGGCCATGGAACCTGTATGGGGCATATCAAAAGCAGATTTGAATCAAGAGACACTGTTGCGGCTTTTCCCCAGAGCGGGCCAGCTGAATCTGGTGAAGGAAGGAGAGGTGCAGTGTAGCTGTTCTGGGGCTCATCTGAGCAGGTGGGGGACAGAGCTGGCCCAGCCCATGACTCTTCTGGCAGATGAAGGGGAGTAGGGGATGCTTGAGACTTCTCCAGGTGGAAGGGTCTTATGGCCCCAGCCAAAGGAGGGGGGGGGGCATTAATTATTCTGCCTTGGGGCCCAGTATTACTGTTGGTGGGCTTGGGTATAGCTGCACCTGTGTAAACCAACCACAGTGTGGTTGAGCTGTGGTTACCCGAAGCAGGGCAAGCCAACCTGTGCAAGTCAGTGCTTTCCTTTTTTGCACTTGGGCTCTGCCATTCACCAGTACAAACCCCACCTACATACAAGGTCTGAAAAGGTATCGAGTCAGATTCTTAGCTGGTGTAAATCAGCACAGCTCCGCTAATTACAGTGCCAATTCACACTAGCTGAGAAAATGGCTCGTAATGTTATAAACTAATATTTCATGTGTGATAAATCAGCTTCCTTAAGTGACCAGCAATAACCAGAGCAATGCAACCACAGAGCATCAATCCTGACTCATGCTCTCAAAAAATGATTGTTATTCAGAGAGGACTTCATTTCAAATTGGATAATTTTGCTCTTATTGAAATTTGTGCTTCCCATTGAAATGAAAGGGGCCACACTGGGTTTAACAGAGCAGAATCTGGTTTTTGCTGCAATCCACTGACACCGCCTTTGTCAAGGCAAGAAAGTTCCAGTCTAAGTTTATACCTTTAAAATCCAGAGAACAGTGATAAAATGATTTGCTCTGCTCATGAGAATTCAGAATAGTTCTTATTTCAGCTTCCGTGCAAGTGGTCTGCAAATGGATTTTGTGAAGCCAACATATTGAGCAAAATGTATTAACAGATCAATTTCCCCCCCAGATTAGCTCACTGTATCTAAATACAATCTTTCAGATCTGCAATCTGAACCATTCCCACCTTTTTGAATGTCAGCACCAAGATAACATGGCTTGATATTAAACGCTAACTAGTCAACCTTGCAAAGGCATGACCAACTAAGAAAAGATATCACTAACCTCATCTATAGCTTTCTTATAGCTCTGGGAGTAAGGGAAGATTAATCAGCGTCAGAGGAAACAGATCGGGACAGGAAAAAGCCAGAGGAAGGGCAAGCAGGTTAGAAATAAAATTAGAATTGTTAGCGCAACGCTGTGAAGTGTAAAGAAAAACAACATCAACAAAACATTAATACACATTAAAAGAGAGAAACAGTGGAAATCCATTTGGTTACTGAGCCCAACACACTCTGCAGTTTTAGAATACAAACATCAGACACAACATTCAACCAGAAAGAAAGACTTTGGAAGGGTTTTTCATGGGCCTTTGCCAAAAAATAAATAAATAAATAAATAAAAGTGCACAGATATTATTGCTAATTTTTCCCCAAGTTGGGATGACTAGCAATGGCTGGGTACCAAGCCTTTGAATGCAGCACGCCCCCTCTCAAGACTGCTCTAGAAATCACCCTAAGATGACGCAATGCAAAGGTGTGCTATATGCAGACTATGACCCCAATCCACAAAGCACTTCCACGCATGCTTAACTTTAAGCTGTGCTGAAGTGCTTCTCTTGCTTTGGGCTACTGTAACCCATGCAATCTCTATGTATTAATATATCCCATGGACTCTTGCTATCCTGCAGACTTAGAGCCTCAGAACTGGTGATGGGATGGCGTTTGCCTCTTTCTACTGGCTGCGACAGCTGGTGTGATTGCCATTAATGGAAACATGGCAAGTTCCACCGGGGCATAATTTAAGACTCACAGCAGGTCGACTTGGGCGCGTCACATCCCTGTTATCCTCCTGTTTCATCTTCGATGGCTCATGAGTGAGCACAGGTGACCCTTCAGGTTTGGCATTCCCTGGGCAAAAACAAATCACTATTGTTAGTGGGAGATCAAATACTTTCACCAAGCAGCAGAATTACATTGTCACCTTTGCACAATGGCACGTATAAGAAAGCCAGTGGTTCCTCATTCATTTCAGGATCCAGTTCAAAATGATCCATGCATGTGTTGAACACTTAATGCAGTCCTACCCCCTCAGCTTGTCTTGAAACAAACCATCAAACAGCACTTTGCGCTTCTTAAGCCCCAACTATCTCAGATCTCAAAGTATCCTACCCCCTGGAGTGAGTTATGCCTCACAACCTCTGACCCCAAGGTAGGCAAATGGTATTGTCTTCGCTGTCTAGAGATTAAGTTTGTGACACATAGGCAGAACTCCGTGTTGGATGATACAGAAATGCCCAGCTGCAAGAGGATAGCAGAAAAGGACTCTGCTGAGGCACAATCCTACCCCAACTCCCTGATATACAGGGAGAAAGAGCAAGCAAATGGCACCATCCTTTAGCAGTGAATCTGTAAAGAATGGGGACTGTCCATGGCCAGTCTCCTTCGATGGTGACTTGCTCCTGGTGCCTGTGCTCCCAAGCAGAGGGGCTGACAGACTTGGTAGGCCCCTAGGCAAGGTGTGTGTGTGTGGGGGGGGATACCTCAGTGCTCCCAGAAGTGATACGGCTTCTGGTGGAAGAGTCGGGGCTGGATGCTAATGTCCCACTGCCAGCCCTTTAATGCCAGCCAGAGCACACTGCCCAAGGCTCTGGAAGTGACTTAAAGGATCTGTGGCTCCAACTGCCACCATTGTTGCAGTAGCAGTGGCTGGGAGTCCCATGCACTTTTGAATCACCAGTCCCTGAGGCAATTGCCCCCTTTGTTCCCCTCTGTGGCAGGGCCTGTTCCTGAGCACCCAGACTGAAGTTTCTCCCTGATTCTTGCAGAATTTGTACACAGGAAATCTCCCTGTACCCCACCCCTACATAAGGGTCATGGACAGCCTGGGTCTGAGTGACTTGCCCAAGGCCATACAGTGAGAGCGTGGCAAAGTCAGAAAAGGATCTCCCAGAGCTGTAATTTGATCACAACTCTGTGTCGCTTAACATTCTCCCACCCAACAATTTTGCCAGTTTTTTCTCCCCTACAGCATCTGTTGCCTCTTGTTTGGAAAAGCCTTTCCTGTTTCTCTCTGCCTCATCTACTGCTTAGCTGAAAACAAGTCAAACCCGCTCCCCCTCAGCCCTCACTTCTCCTCATTTGTAATTGTAGTGCATGACTCTCTAATGCCTGTTGCCACTCAGTTTATTTGAAACAGGCTCTCCAGAATATAGCTCTGTTGCATTGTCCTCTTGCTGTGTGGCTAGAGAATTTATAAATACATTCTAATGCCCATTTACTCTCAAATTCTTGTCCTTTTTCTATTAAAGAAACATTCACTCTGCAGTGGAGCTGGAAATGTGATAAATTAGAAGCACTGTAGAATCTGATAATTGCGAAGATGTTATTCCTCACAGAATTCCTCATTAACTAAAAACCAAAAACAGAACAAATGCTGATAAATTACTTTAACGGACTACATAGAGGAGGGATTACTTTAACAAGAGACATGTCGACTTATAATCAAGGTGGGTAAGGTAATGTCTTTTATTGGACCAACTTCTGTGGATGATAGAGACAAACTTGTAAGCTTACACAGAGTTTTTCTTCATATGTGAAGAAGAGTTAAGTTTAAAAGCTTGTCTCTCTCCAATTGTTGGACCAATAAAAGATATGATCACCTTGTCTCTCTCATATCCTGGGACCAACATGTCTACAAAAATATTGCATACAACTTACAGCCAAGTCATAAAAAATTCAGAGCATGGATGCAGCATTTATTTTAATGTGCTATCGCCTGAGGATTTATACTCCAGGACTGAGAGAGAAATATAGATAAACTGGCTGGATGTGGTTTGACAACTCCTATTCTGATTAGATGGGGGAAAAGAAGATCTTCAACAACTATAAAATGCCAGGAAACAAATCAGCTAGGGATGTAAACTCAGTATTAACATGGCTCAATTCTGAAAAACTTTCAGAAGAAATGGCTTAGGAGCTAGTTCACTTTTCTACGTCCTATAACACCCAAATGAAACAAAACACCAAATAAGTTGAATTTGGATTAGAGAAGAAAAAAGTGAACCTGGAATTAATTATATTTCACTACTACAGACTTTTTACCTCTTTTTGTGGGGACAATAGACATACAGAACATTGGACTGCAATGTGTAGACACTTTAGCCTGCAAAATGCTATGTCAGGTCTATGAGGGTTTTGCATAGCAAATAAATAAATAAATAAATAAACACATAAAGAATGCATGCTCTGTACAAACATAGTTTCTTTCAGCAGACAATCTGATAGTTCATGAATAATTGGGTAAGCATCATCTCCATGTTACAAGGGAAGAAACCCAGGTATAGGAGCAGAGCCTAATCTCAGAAAAAAACAGATGTGCAAAATCAGGTGCAACTCCATGGCTTCAGTGGATCGATTTACATCAGTTTTACACATACATGAGATCAGATTAGATCCATGGAGAAGGTCAATGACTTGCCAGAGGTTATTCATCATGTTCAGAAATGATACAGGATCAGGGCCTAAAGAGCAATTATAAAAAAAAAAAAAGGCATCTCACCTCTCACTCTATTGCGTTCACTGGAGCCAGCTTGCGAACCAGGCTGGGATCCTCCCTGGGAACTAGGCTGGGAACTGGGGGTGCTGGAACTGGAGGAGCTGCCACTACTGGTCCTTTGTATGGGACTTTCAATGACGGTCTCTGTTCTCCTCAGGTCAGGGTTACTATATGCACATCGGAATGAAAGAAAACTGTGGTTAGAACAGGTATCACTGTTTAAGAGAATTGGGAGAAAGTCTTCATTCAGTTGGAAGCAAGAGAACAGGTTCGTATTATTGATGCAGCTGGTCCTTTTTGAAGTTGACATGAGAAGGCCAGAGCTACCACAATGACATGCAACACAGAATGACAAAACTACTGTGGTAGCTTCAGTACTGTCTAATTCTGAGCATTTCAGAGCCGAAGCATTCTGGGTAAAATTTTCATCAAAGTGACTTTTCAAAAGTGTCTATGTGATTCAGGAGCTTACATCCCAATGCAAAACAGTGAGACTAAGTCTGGTGAGCCAGTTATGATGCATTTGCACTAGGACAAAAGGTGTGGTTTTAGTTTCAATTAGCTAATATGTGGTAACTAATACATGGTAAAATCCAAGCAAAGACAAAGGCAGATTGAATTTTTAATTAGCCAGTCAAGGCAAATGCTCCGCTCCTCCATAGCCTTTAACTCAACCTGCCACCATGTATGAAAACTGACAACTTCATTATCGTCCCTTGGATTTCACCTCAGGTTAGTTACCTCATGTTAGCTAACATGAGTTAAGAACACCCCTTTTTTTCCTAAGGAAGGCAAGACCTAATTGACTTTAGCAAATTCTCCCCTCCATCACTAACTAGTAGTTTCCAGCAACTAAAAGACAACTAGCTGACACAGCTGCCAGGGACAGATGGAGAGTTTTACTGTCCTAGGCACATTGGAATTGGTCACATTCTCACAGCTCCAAACAACAGTTTACTGGGTTTAGTATTTCTTTGCCCTAGGAAAAACCAGGTGTAGCAGAACTAACCCTGATACCATCACCATTCATTGAATGGAGGAATGCAAAATTTATACCCACTCAGGTGCTGGCCTTCATTACAAAAACAAAAATAGCAATTTAAAAGTTAACTTTTAAATAGTTAAAATATTCTGTTAAAAAAGTAATTACTTTTTTCTTAATATTTATTACTCTGCTAAAATTTGCAATGTGACTGAAAAATATATTTGCTGTGCATCAACATTCCCAGATTTTCATGGTCTCATATCTCACCATTTCAGACTGAAGGGTTGAAACATGATACATATGTTGCCAACTTTATCATTTCTCTTTTCTTGTCTCACTCTTTCTTGCAAAATATTCGCAGAGTTTTAAATCAGAAAAAAAGTGGTTTTGATTTACAGACACATCCAACATTTCTCAGAGTTTCACTTATCTTTATGAAATGAATCCTTATTTGACACTGAAATGGCTATGGAAAGTCTGTTCATACAGCACTGTGCAATTCCTTTTTACACAATATTTCTAACTGATGTTATTATTCAAAATCTTTCTATAAATGAGTGGAAACATGTTACATGGAGTTCAAGTAGGACTCTGAGTACTAAGAACAACATTTGGTAATACTTCTGCATTATATAATATATCATTTGGAATCAAAGACATTGCATAGGCAGCATAAGATGTTTGTTACACGTGAGTTATAAGTAACCTTAAATAATTTAGCCAGTGCTCAGAACAGCACAAATTGCATTTATTATACAAAATCACATTGCCATAAATGATTTCTTGGCAGGATTAATTTCATTTGGACTTTGTGTTGGATGAATCTTATGTAGAAATACTGTCCGGTGTACTTTCATTTGGCACAGGAAGTTACTAAGATGGTAACAGCAATATTAACATTCTCGTGCAGAATGACTGCAGCTTTCTGTGCATGGAAATGGCTCATATAAATTACAATGGGGTAACAATTAAAATTATGTTCAATACAAAATTAAAGTTTATATTAAAGTTGGAAGGAATCCAGAAAAGTTGTGAGGAATGAAAGGACAAGAAAACATATATAAATGTTATTGCTGCTTCAAATGGTTAATTTAATATACTTTTTTGGCATCACTGTAATTGCAACTGAATAGTTGCAGAACTCTGCATTGTGTGGTACAGCTGGAGTCATCTTGGTTATGCTGTTATCTGGTTAGTTGATGAAACTTCTTTTAAAACTTTAGCAACAGACACATTTATCTATACCAACTGCGGTCAGGTTCTTGAGTTCAATGGAAAATCTGGGCGCCCTTATATGAGTCAAACAGTCCAATGGTATTGTTATTAGCAGTGCAGGTTCTTCCTCGTGTTGTGACTATGGATTGGAATATCCCATTGCTTCTTTAAAAAGGTAACTACCTAGTGAAAGTGTCTGTTTTGGGAAACTGAGGGTACTTGGGCCTTCGGCAATGGAGGTGAATAAAAGCAAACTGTAACTAGGTCGACCACTTCTAGGCATCCCCTTAAGGCCAGAGGTGTGTCGTGGAATGTTCCACAAGGAGTACAGGTAGTTCGGAATAGGAAGCCTAGTCCGAACTATCTAGTTCGTGCCCCGTGTAGCCGCGGGGCACGGAGTCCGAACTAGCGGACATTTAAAAATGGCGGCGCCCGGCAATATGCAAATGAAGCCCGGGAAATTCAAATACTGGGCTTCATTTGCAACTCCGATTGACTACATTACCACCCTAGTTTGAACTAGGGTGGTAGTGTAGACATACCCTAAGGCCCCTTAATAACTCCACATAGTCTTTCTCCTGGCTGCCTCCACTCATGCCTGGGGCTGGTTTCATACTAGAAACAGTTCAAAACCAGTCCTCAGAGACCCAAATTGAAGTCCATCATCACAACATTAGCTCATAATCAGCTCTGGCATCTTCCACCACACCCAGAGCTATTCTTCTGTCTCAATCTGTTCCCCATGAAGCTGCCACTCCTCACCCTTCCCAGTGGGAGCTCAGCTTTCTGGCTCTGGCTTCCCAACTCCAGCCCTTCTCCAATGCAGGATCGCCAACAGGAGCTTCCTGCTCACTACAGCTCTTTTTTGCCACAGCTTCTTCCTGCTTCCTGTTGACCTCCAGCTCTTTATAAGGAACATCTATCTCTATCAAGCCCCACTGAGACTGTTGAAGAGGCACTTTCTTCTTAAAGAGCCCAGTCCACCTGGTGACACCAATGATAGAGGTAAATGGTCTTTCTGCTCATAACAAAAAGTATTTTTTCTAAAAAAGCTTTGCCAATATATATTTCTTTGGCTACCCTAGCATCTACTTTACATTCAGCCTGCTATACTGCATGCAGTGCTGCTACAGAGTGAATCAGATTAGCTGGGAAGGAAAGTGTATGCTGAAAGACATGTACTATCGATAATTTGGCCGAGAATATCCTAGAAACCTTTGACTTCAGCCTTTGAAAAAAACATCAAATATTTCCATATGCAAAGATAAATGGAAAACAAATATTTGTCATGAGATTTAAGCTGGCGTTTCATCTGAAAAGATCTGGAGTTCTGCCCACCATACTATCACATGATCTGAAAATCAAACTTACCTGTCTAAGTTTATTTTTATGCTTCTGTTATGACTGAGCCCTGTTGTCTTTTCTATCATTTTAAACAGTTCAAGACTAGATCTTGTAATGTGCTGTCCTGGTGCACACGGAGAAAGGCAGAAGAGATTATATTACAGATTAGGGGCAAGATCTTTCTTGGGAGTGCAAGGAGTGGGAATGGTTAACAGGCCAACTTGGGGTAAGAGAATTGACTAGTCCCCAAGTAGTTAATGTCAGCAGCACATGCTAGCCAGGAACACATACTGTTCTTATAGAACCCATTTAACATAATGGAAATTTTGTCATTGATTTGAACTTAAAACAGATCAAACCCTTAGTTGAACAGCAACAATGTATCCCTCCTTCCCCCAATTGCCTGCACTGCAGGTGGAATCCTGCTCTGATTAGCAAGAATGGTGGAGAAGCTATCTACTACCATCTGTGCTCACATTCGGCAACACTGAAAGTCAGGCAGAATTTGACCCCGAGCCTGCAGCAGGAAGGAGCTGAGAAGACCATATCCTGCTTCTACTAGCATTATGGCAAAATTCCCAATCATGTCAACAGCAATAGCTGTGAGTCCAGAGCATCTTCTGCATCAGCTAGAAATCCTGGGAAGCCTAAGAAATGTAGAAATTCCAACTCATCAGGATTTTGCACAGTATTAGGAGTTCCAGAATCCAGATGTTCACAGCTTTGATGACGCTGTGCAATTCTAATTAATGTAAATCTCATGCCTCATCAAGTTATGGTGGAGGTGCAAAGCGATGGTCAGTTATTAGTAAATCCATGTTAAAAGAGAGCAGAGATTGCTTCAATTTTTTATAAATTTTTACACATTTATTGACAACAAGACTAAGGACTTCACGCTAGGAGTTTTGCTTTGATTCAACAGGGGCCAATCTGGAGCCAAAAATCACTGGTTTGATTAGTTACAATCAGATTCTTTGCTCCCTGCAACAGCTGTGCATAGATTGTAGTTAGAAGACCTTGATTTAATAGAGAATGCCCATTGAATTCAGTGAGCATTTGCTCATGACCCAAAACTCCCGCTTCCTTTGTGAGGCTCATAAACAAGAGCAGCAGGAAGAAAATGATAAAATTAATATGCAGATTCATTAATATTTTTCTCCTTTTCCCACACGTTCTCCCATACCTTGCTCGGATGGGCTGTGATCCTAATCGAGTTCCCAATGCAGTGCCATTCCCAGGGGAGTTCTTTCTAGCTAGTGCTGGGGATATGGAAGTTGTTCGCTGAGGCACCTGAAAGAAAATTGAAAAAGTCAAAGCTATTAGGACTGCATAGTTGAACTTAGATGTTCTCTTCGTGCGCTTGGGAAAGATCAGTTTTCGGCAGGTTTTCTAGTTTGATGTGTAATTACTTTTCCACTGAGAGATATGAAATATTTACAGCAGTTATAAAACACAAAGTTCTTGGCACCTGCAAAGAATCATAGATGTTTGAGACAGGGAAGACCTGAAAAGTCATTTATTTTATTCTTCATAGGGGAGGGCCATTTATGACATTATAGTCACCCGAAGTCTAAAAAAGGTAGGTGTTAATATCAAGCAGTGAGATTTAAATAAAACATTTACATATACCCCAAATTTAACAAAAACACAGTAAAACGGAACAGTCTTAAAATCTGGATTCCTCAGAAAGCTCAATCTAGCAGCTTTTAGAGCTACTTGCTCTAAGGATGTTAGTAATTAATTGAATAGTCACACAAAATTTTACTGGTTACATGACCGAATGATGCCCATGAGCAGGACTAGTAGCCTGTGTGCTTCTGGCCCCACTACCAGGAAGCCCCCTGCCACCTCTGTATCAGAGGCACGTTGTGGCAGGTGGGAGCTGGTCCGCGGCAGCAAACTCTGTCAGTGGGTGGAACCATCTCCCCACAGACAGAGGTTGCGCTGGCATCCCATGGAACAGCCTCCCTGCCCCTTCCCCACTGCTGCCTCTGATAGAAACAGCAGCCTGAGGGAGGGAGGGTAGGAGGGAAGGCAGCTTTACAGAGCTGGCATGTGAGGAGAACTGACTTAAAAGCTAGTTCGCCACATGCATCAGCTCCCGCTTTTCTTCCCACCACTCTGCTACAACCTGTGATAGAGAGGCAGCAGCAGGGGTGTTGGGGGGTGGGGGAGGAAGCAGCTTGCGTGAGCCAATACGCATGGGGAGGAGGGAAGAGGTGGGCTCCATAGCGACATGTAGTTGATAAGGTTAACCAATAAGCCTAGGCTTATCAGTAAATCATGTACTTGACTACACAATAATATCCCTAACTTGTACAGGTACAATAAATTACATTGTAATAATATCACAGAGGCAATGCCACCTAGTAGTCAAAGGCAAGGGCTGGGAAGAAAGAAGGTCCCTGTGTGGAATCCAGGCAGTGCCATTCAACTACGTTGATCAAGACTTTTTTGGCCTTAGTAATTTCAGCGGTACAATTAACTGAAGCCAGATGTCAATGAAAACCAGATGTTTGAATTAAGATGGATCACTTCGATTATTCCAGAAAACAACATTTAATAACAAATAAAGGCTTCTGGATTCTGCATGATTTTACACATGGCTGGAACACTGAGTATGACTCACTCCACTGTAATTTAGAGCTCTCTGTGTGCTTATTACACATTAGTATTATGTAGGCTGTTATGCAATACTTTGGCCCTATGAGAACTATTAAGGTAATCACTTACCTGTGGAACTCCCTGCCACAAGATAAGACAGACGCCAAAAGTTTAGTAGGATTTTAAAAAGGTTTAGATATTGTATTGAAGATGGGAAGTACATAGTTATATTAGATAGTTTAAAATCATTTTAGTTTAGCTTTAAAATTATTTAAGAAAGAGAGAGAGAGAGAGAGAGAGAGAGAGAGAGAGAGAGCGAGAGAGCTGTCTTCATGTTTGAGGGCATATCAAACAATAAGTGGTTATATTATCCTCCATGGATAGATTATTCCCAAGTTGTCTTATTTGGAACTTCTTGAACCTTCTTCTAGAGAAGTGGTTCTCAAACTTTTTGGCCCACAGCCCACCTGGCTCAATGCAAACCTTTCCGTAGACCACCAGTTGCTAATGGAAACTCGTCGTTAATTTCATAATTACGCCTGAGCCACTTTGCTAGTGCTGCAGTTAAGGAGAACAGTTTAATTTAACCAGTAAGAAAAGAAATGTTAATTTAAATTATAAAACAGATTAAGTTCTTTAACTTTCTTATGTTAGTTTCTCAAACTTCATTTTAAATAAAGTAAAATATGAATGTATGTTCGACACAAAAAGGTTTTAATGTTTTCATTCTTTATAG